TAAATTGCTTTGTTGTTATTGTTTTTTTGCTTTTGTCTTTTGCTTATCAGCATTTGCATGAATATGTCTATTTTTATATTAATAAAAAATATGCTCTTTAACTATTTTCTCTCTAATTTAATTTTTAGCCATTAGTGTTATATAATTAATCAATTTTCTCTTCTTTCTCTTTCTTTACTTATTATTATAATCTCTTACTATTTTATTTTTATAACAAAATTGACAATTTTTACTTTAATTATTATAAATATTATAAAATTTAAATTTTGCTAATCAAACTTTCGTACACTGAACTAAATTTATTTAACTCCAATTTTAATAAACATGTTTTTTATCGAATAAATATTTATTTTAAACGTATAAATATTTACATTTGACTCAGTCAAATTTTCGACAATTTATAATTTATTATATGTAATAATAATTTTATATTTATTTGATAAAAAAAATGTAATATTCACTGGTTTTTATTGAAATATTCGGCTGAATTATTTATATCGATTGTGGGGAAAAAGAAAAAAAATTGAAATACGTTCTTTTGACATTTACGGTTTGCAACAGTATGTGAACAGATGATTTTTTCTTCTTTCTTTTTTTTGTACATTTTTTCCATGAAAATGAAAGAAGTAACATAAATCTAACATCTTTGTGGGTACTAAAAATTTTATAGAGCCACTCGTTTTATCTCTAGTTTTACACACTTTCAAAAGTTTTGTATAAACAAATCACGATTCTTTCTCTCTCTCTCTCTCTCTCTCTCTCTCTCTCTCTCTTTAACTATTTTTTTGTGTATAAAAAATAAAAAAAACGTATTTCAAGAAAAGAACCTTATTTAGTTTATATTCGAAAGAAACTTGATTTCTTCAAAGACTTGATAAGCAAAAAAAACGGGACAAAACAAGAAGTGGTAAAAAGAAGAAAAAGTAGAAAAAAACACTGTATTTAAATATTCAGAGAGCTATTGTATTACGTACACGTCTACTGGGTGTATGTACGGCATATACGTTCAAAGACTCGGTAATCATGATAGAAACTTTGGAATACAAATTAGCCGATTTGGCTGTTAATAAAGCTTAGCATAAGCAATGAACAGAATTTATTCAGTTTTTCGAAATTCGTTTCACAATTTTTTTTATCAAATTCCGAAGAGCAAGGCAAGAATTAGGTCTGTAAATTCCGTAAAAGTCCGTAATTTTGCTACAAGTCCGTAAAAGTCCGTTTCTTTAAATTTCTTAAAGTCCGTAATTTAATTCAAAAAAAGATGAAAAGTTCGTAAATTGTACGATATAATTTGGAGAAATTCAGAGAAATTACAAATGATTGTAGAAATTCAATTATGTTCAAAAATTTTAATTATCTTTAGAAATAATTAAATGCTTCTCTGAAATTCAATTATTTTCAAAAATTTGAATAAAATTCTTGAAAAAATTCAATTATTTAGAGAAATAACAAAATTCTTCAAAGGTATTCAATTATTTTTATAAATAGTAAAATTCTTCGACAAAATTCAATTATTTTCTGGATTTGTAATAAAATTCATTGCAAAATTCAATTATTTTCATAAATAATATTATTCATCACAAGAATTCAATTATTTTTAAAAATTTTTAATAAATTTCATATGGTAAAATTTCAATTACATATTTTCAAAAATTTGACTCATTTCAATGATTTTCAATATCTACTATTGTAATAAAATTACCCAAAAAGAATTTAATTATTTTAAACAAATTTTAATAAAATTATACACAAACTTTTAATTATTTTAAAAAAATAATAAAAATTTCACAGGAATTTCAATATTTACAATTTTTTTTATAAATTTCTTTGCAATCATTCAATTATTTTCATAAATATTAAAACTCATTGCAAAAGTTCAAATATTTTTAATACAAATTTAATCGAATTTCTCAAAAAAATTGTTAAAAATTTTATTAAAATTCGTCAAGAAAATTTAGCTGTTTAAAAATTTATAGATAAAACTCTTTATGAGAATTCAATTTTAAGAAACATGCAATTATTTAATAAATTGTTATTTTTGTATTTAAATAATTGAATTCTAGTAGAATTTTCTCATAAACATTGATTTAAAAATGGTTTTCAGTTAAAATTTTAGATTATAATTATAATTGAACAATTTTTCTCCAAAATTCAATTATTTTCAAAAATTTTAATACATTTCTTGGCAAATTTTCAATTATTTTTAAAAAGTTTCCTCAATTAAATGATTTTTAATATTTATTATTTTAATAAAATTTCCGAAAAGAATTCAATTTATAAAAAAAAAAGTTTGATAAAATTCTGCGCAAACTTTTAATTATTTTTATAAAATAATAAAAATTTCGGGGCAGGAATTCAATAATTTAGAAATGTATTGTAATTTTCTTCGCAATCATTCAATTATTTTCATAATCAATAAATTGTTTTACAGAGATTCAATTCTTTTCGTAAATACAAAAATTCTTTTAAGGAATTCAATTATTTTCAAAAGTAATAAAATTCATTGCAGAATTTCAATTATTTTTAATACAAACTTAATCAAATTCCTTGAAAAATGTAATTATTCTTGAAAATTTTATGAAAATTCGTCAAAATAATTCAATTCTTTAAAAATTTGTTTATAAAATCCTTTATTAGAATTCAATTTTAAGAAACATTGAATTCTTCAATAAATTATTTATTTTTGTATTTAAATAATTGAATTTCAGTAGAATTTTCTAATAAAAATTGATTTTCATTTCATAAAAATGAATTTTAGTTAAAATTTTAGATAATAATTGAATATTAAAAGCAATATACATAGCGTGAATTTTAAAAAATATTTTAATTTTGATATTAATTTTTTTGAAAAAGTTTAATTTTGGGAAGTTTTTTAAAATTATTTCAAGTTTTTATTTTCTAATATTTATTGAATTGAAGAATTTACGAATAATTGAAATTTCGTAAAATTGAATATTGTAAAGAAATGGATTTGAAAATTGTCAAAGAACTTTTTCGAAAATTATTAAAAATAATCGTTGTAAAAAAGAATTTTAGTTAAAAATTCTTGTAAGTAATAATAATTGAATTGTAAATGATTTTATGACTCGGTCATCTTTTATTAATATAAAAAATGTTCTCTTATTTGACTCGGACTTGTTTATATTTTTTGCCAGTAATTGGTCCATAAAGGGTCCATACTTTTTCATTTTTGGTCCGTAAAGTCCGAATAAAAAGGAAAGTAATTTTTTTCGAATTTTCGAAGTTTGTAATCAAAGTAAACATGGCCTGTAATTATTTTTTCTGTGCTTTTCTTCCAAGTACGTCACGAATTGTTACAGTATATTTTTATAATAATTTATGTACGTTTAAAAGTGATAGAGTTGCGTTATATTTATAGGTGTATATGTACAGTGTATGTTCAACAACTACAATAGACTATATGCTTCTGCATCGTTAGTTCCTGGAATGTCTGCGAGCAAAAATAATTACTTCGGTCAGTCGCCCGACGTTTTCCCTTATTGAATTTCAGTATTTTCAGTGTCTTCTGTCTTTTGCCAAAGAAAAACTAAGCACAAATTTTTACAAACTCACAAATATATTTTTATATCGCAGCAAAACATGAATCAAAATTTTCAAATCAAGGTACAAAATATTTTCACAATTTTCTCCTCTACTTCGGAATTTGATTTTTTTTTTTTTTGACATGTTTATTAATAATTCGAATATATTAATTTTTAACATACTTATTGTTATTATCATTATAATTATTATTATTATAATTATTATTATTAATATTTTTATTATAAATATTTTTATTATTATATTATTGTTAGGTATTATTGTTAACATTATTGTTAAAGCGTTTTGTTTATTAATGAGTCAGCACACTTGTTGTCATTACATTTTTTTCTGTAAGATAAGAAAATAACTGTTTGTCTTGAAAAGTATTTTTTGAAAAAGAAACAAAAATGATAATAAAAACTTTCCTAAAGTGACCTTTGTAATATTCAAAAGTTAATTAAAATAATAAACGATTGCGATAAAGGAACTGTCAATTAATAATTTACTAAACAAAAATGCTTATAAGCAATTAATTGACTGTAATTAATAGCGGAAATACGAAAAAATATCAAACTTTTAACATGATGAAAATTAATTTTTTAGAAAAAATGTAATATAATAATAATATTAATTAGAATAGGAATAATATAACAATAATAATAATAATAAGTATATAAAATAATGAATAAGAAGAAATAAAGAAATATATTTCTAATTGGTGAATATTAAGTAAAAATTGAAATTTTTGCTAATTTTTTTTTTTTTTGTATAAATAAATGCAGAGTGTAATTTTCCGTTATAACTATCCATTTTGTATGAAAGTAATTAGTAATTAAATAAGATTAGATGACAGACGCGGCCGCGGTATAATTAGGTTGATGAAATTAACAAAATAATTACTAAGCGCACGCGGCTACAAATTGTTTCGCGGCAAATTATTATTTTGTCTATTGTTACTTTTGATATAACTTTCGCATGACCCGAAGGAATTTAACAAAAAAAAAAAGGAAAAAAAAGGAAAAAGTTGTTTCTCACACATTCATTTCATTTTTTTTTCTCTGCGGCATGCGAAAAATAGGATGGAAAATAGTTTGTGAAAAGTGAAATAAATTTTTTTATCACCTTTTTTTATTTTTGTTTATTAATTACTTTTTTATTATTTACAGGGTGGCCACAAAAATTTAACTTTGTTAATTTTACTTTCCCTGACTTTTGCCTGAATTCCTTGATTTCTCTGACCTGTGGCAACTCTGTATTTAGGTTTTTAGACTTTTTTTTTTTTGATTATTTATTGAAAATTTGAAATTATTTGTAACTTATTGAATTTGCTATTTTTATAATTCTGAATTTTTCTCTTTTTCCTTCTCCCTCTTTCTGTCTCTGAACAAGTCAGTTTAATGGCATGCGATTAATCTCGTAATTTTTGTCCATTAACTTATTTTCGTTTTGTTTTTCAGATGGGGTCACGTTTGGGGATGCGGAGGGATCCTTGCGCCGTGTGTGGTCTTCCTGTTTTCCTCGCTGAGAAATTGGTCATCTCCCGTATGCACTATCATCGCACATGCTTTCGCTGTGCCCGCTGTAAAAATCAATTAACACCCGGCAATTACTATGAGACCGAGGACGGACAATATTGCTGTGAAACGTGTCCCGACGAGGAAGCATTAGCATACAATAACGAAGCCACTTGTTTTTCATCACCAACAACAGCGAATGATGATATTTTACAAAAATCTCTCAGCGATGAAGAAAAAATTGTCAAATCAATTGATCCAAAAATTTTACAAACACCACAGACGGCATCAACACCCAATAATAATAATAATAATAATACAGATGATGACAGTAATGATATTTCGTCATATTCGTCATCCGCACAACAATTGAGATTAAAATTCATCGAGAGTAATTTAATAGCAGAAAAATTATCAATTTTTAATGATGATATTGTGTCATTAGATGATGAACTCTCGGCAGCCCCAAATTCATCAGCATTGAGGAGATTAATGATGAGCGATGCTGAAAATAGTGACCCCGTAATAAATGATGATAATGATCAGCGCCTTACTGCCATTTCGTCCCATGACGTAGATTTTAAGTGTCTAGATGATAAGACAAATACCAAAGACTTAGACGGCGAGGCTGCGACTGCATCTCTCGTTCAGCAACGTTTGAAAATGTTCGAGAGTCAGGACAAAAAGTTAAAAGTAGTCAACACCGTCAAGCCTGCTTTGTCCAAGAAGGATTTGACATCCTTCTTCCCCCCAACAAATCAAGAAGAGAATAATGAGATAGAAAGTGATGAAAATGATGGAAATGATGGAAATGATTCCCCAATTTTCGAATCGAAAAAACCTTCCGAAAAATTCAACCCAAGGGAAACAAAATTAAAACGAATGGACACATTAGAAGCCGAGTTTGAACGTCTCCTTGAGTCAAATTCAATAGAATCGGAACAAGTATTTTTAAACGAAACCGAAGAATCGAACATTTTCAATCCGCCAGAAACGGAACTAGAACTAAAACCAGAATTGAAATTAGAGCAAAAAGACACGATTCAATCTCAAGAAAGGGAAATAGAAAAAAAAGAAAAAGTTGAAATCGACAAAAATTATTCGAGAAGTCAATTAGAAACGGATGAATTGAATTTATTCACCGCAAAAGGAATAAATTTGAGTGATGTCCAGGTCGATAATTATCCGCAAGATTTAAATCCATTTGCCGATGAAGAAGAAGAAGAAGTAGAAGAAGAGGAAATTGTCAATGAATCGAAGAAGAATACAAGTAAAATTTCAACAAATCCATTTGGCAGTAGTGATGATGAAGAAGAAATGAAAATCCAAGAGACAAGAATTAAAAGACGTTTGAAAGCACCGGAAATTAGTTTGAATCCATTTTCCAGTGAAGATGATGATGATGACGATGAATATAATAATGATAACAATACAAAGGGAAAAAATATCGAACGAGATAAAAATGTTCCGATTAATTTCCCTGTTCCTAAACCAAGAACAATCAAGTGAGCTTCATTTTATTTAATTCGCAAATTTTATTTCATTGGTTTTTGTTATTTTCTAGGTATTAATTTTGAAATAACTTTTTTGCAGTCTTATAACATCAAAGCAGAATTTGGAACGGAGCGGAATGTACGCTTCGAATACTTCCCTGGCAAGTTGTGGATCCACACCTGGGGCAAGTTCTCGAAAGAAAAAACCTGCACCACAGCCACCTACCAAAGAAATCCTTTCTTCACCCCATTCGAATCCAACCACACCGAAACGTAATTCATCTATTAACACTACTGTGAGTATTAATTTTAAAACTATTTTTTTCAATTAAAAGTCGATTCATTGTTTGCTTTTTTGTTTCCTAACTTTTTTAATAATTTTTTTCAAATATTTTCAATTCTAAAATTAATCTATTAAAAATCATTGAATTTTTTCGAAGAATTTTATTATTTTATTAAAATTTTTGAAAATAATTGAAATCTTCAAAAGAATTTTATTTTTTATAAAGATAATTGAATTTCTAGAAAGAATTTTACTGTTTTAAAAAATAATTGAATTGTTTCGAAGGATTTATTAAAATTTTCTTGAAAATAATTGAATTTTTTCAAAAAAATGTATTATTTCGAAAAATGACTGAATTTTTCCGGAGAATGTTATTAGTTATGAAAATAATAGAACTCTTGCGAAGAATTATATTTAAATTTTCGAAAGTATTAACAATAATAATTAATTATGTACTTAATAAGGGAATTTTAAAAATTTTGATTATGAAATAATTTATATTTGAAAATAAAAAATTTTGTAATTTACATAATAATAATAATAAGTTAATAAATATTTATATTTAATTATTTATAGAACTCATCACCACACATGACGCCACGTATGAGAAAATCAAAACCAGCACCACCTCCACCAATTTTAACTAGTACACCACAAAATGAATCACTTTTATCGCACATCAATTGTAATGAATCTCCGATTCAAGAATTAATCAGCGATGACGATTTATGTAAATTAAATATGTGGGAGGATCAAAAATCGAATAAAGATGAAGTAAATAGAACGAGACAGAGTCTCTCTTGTCACGATAGTCAATCGTATGCTTCATACGCGGACAAAAGTGTTCAGGGAAAATGGAAAAGAAAAAAGGGGCCGGCACCCCCTCGACCAGTTCCCCTTCGCAGAAAGGTAAATTAATTTCTTAAATCTATATTAATTTCTGTTACTTTTTCTTTTAAAATTTTTAAAATATATTCTTTTTTATTGTTTATTCTTTTTTTTTATTTTGGAAAGGAAAAAGGTAATCTCTAAATTGTACTCACAAGTAAATAAAAAATTTTTAGATCAAAGTATTATCGATGAAAGATATAAAATTGGAACTGGATCAAATAGAATTACAACAACAAGGTTTGGAACGACAAGGCGTCCGTTTGGAGCAAATAATTCGAGATAAATCCGAATCGAAACCAAACGGGGAAGGTAATCAGTTTTTCTCCATTTTTATTTAACCAAATAGTTTTTTTTCCTCATTAATTAAAAATAATTACAATACAATGCACTTTTTTCATTTAACTCCGAATGTTTATTTTAGAAGATAAATTTTGATTTATTTTCTATTTCATTGAACTGAATAATTTTCGCGTAAGCAGAACTTTTAACTTTTCTATTATCGAATTTAATTTATCAAATTTTGTCAATTAATAATTAATAGTGGACTGTTAATTTTGTTATTAATTTGCTTTTAATTACTTGCCTCTTTAGACTCGAATTTAGATGGAGACGTGGAAGAATTAGTGTTAGAATTATTTGTCCTCGTGAACGAAAAGAATGAATTGTTCAGGAGACAAGCGGAATTAATGTTATTACGAAGACAGCAGAGATTAGAGGAAGAACACGCTGATGTTGAATATCAAATAAGGTGCCTTATGTGTCAACCTGAAGCTACAAAAACTGATTTTGATAAGCAACGAGAGGAAACATTAATCCAAAGGTATTTTAAAAGATTATAATTCTGTCCTTTTTCTGCAAAACGTAAAAAATCTTTTCCTTTTCTAACATTTTTCATTTAAAAATTTGCAGGTTGGTACAAATTGTCGAAAGGAGAAATGAAATAGTCGAGTGCCTTGAAATGGATCGAAAACGTGAAGTTGAGGAAGATCGCAGTATTAATAAACATATGGGTTTATACGCGGGTAAATTTAGAAAATAATTGTAATTACTTTCTCCTATAATTTTATATCGAAATTAAATTAACGAAAATTTTTTGCTAAATTTTAATTTTCTTCGATAAATGTAAAAAAGGATCTTTTTCTAGTAGATTACTTAATATTTTTTGATTCTGCAAAATTTGTTTCGTTAATTTAAAAATTTTAAAAAGTATTTTTTTATATATCGATATTTATAAGTTAATGTGAATTTAATTTTCCCTCTTTCTTTTTTGGGCAATTGTGCAGCAAAAGGTAAAAGTGATACGAGTAGTGATAATGATGTAAATCGTCCGTCCAAGACAAAGAAAGGAAAACTCAAGGAGAAATTGAAGGAGAAAAAATTGAAGAAGAGCCATAAAAAGGATGCCGATAAAGATGTCGATGAGGCCGAATTAAAACTTAAACGCCATAACAAGAAAAAGTGGTTTTAATCCACATGTTTTTTTTAACCCTTATTTTTACTTATATATAAAGTTTAAAGAAGAAAAGAATCACAATTTTTTTCGTTGCATTTGACTGGTCAAATTTAATACTTTTTTATGTTTTCTTTTTTAAAAATAAAAATTTCGACTTTGTTATTTATAAATAAAGTTCGAAGTAAATAATAAAAATGTTAATATCCAATTAGTAAATTGTTTCTCTACCTTTTTAATTATTACTCCTTCCATCAATTTTTTCTTAATTGATTTAACTTTTGTTAAATCAATTTCATTTTAATTTTCAAATTTATTAAATTATAAATAAAAAATTTTGATTAATTTCAAGTAAAATAATTAGATTCAAAATTGGAAATTATTTTATTTAAAATATATTTTCATAATCTAATTAAAAAATTAATCTATTCTTCTTTTTTAAATACCTTGATTATTCTAATTGGTGTGTCGTCTGTTGGAATAAATATTATCGACTTTGGAACTATTTCGTCACTGTAGCTGAGATTTTTATCTGAAAAAATTAGCCAATTATAGAATTAATATTTTTATAGTTATTTTATCAATTATTTCCCATTGATATATAAATAGAAATTCATCAATATAAAAAATAAAAATAATTATTATAATAGTAATTCGAGAAATAATTCGTAATAATTATATAATATAAATATACTAAATTTGACATTTAAAAAATTACCCAATTGCTCGAGGAATTGATCAATCGTCTTAGAATTGCGTACAGTCGCCGCAATAATTGCGTAATGACATTGATTATGAATTAATAAAATTTTCAAGGCATTCGAGAGTGAGGAAAAATTACTACTATCGTATAATACATCGGCAGCAATGACAATTTCAGGCTCTTCATCATTATTGTCAATTAAATCAATTAAATAATTATTCATCTCTTCCCATTTCAAATTTACAGCTCGCACTTCAGTTTGCTGATTGTATTTTCCCTCAAATTCAAATCTCTTGTCACTCTTTTCCTGATTTGATAATTTTTCGAAATTTTCCTTATTCGAAAAATTTGTCATTAAATTCTTGAATAATAAATTCATAACAATTGGATGACAATCGGAGAATGTGTATTGTTTCGGAGAACAAGTATTTATCACCGTAAGACCCGTTAAACCAATTCCAGATCCAAGTTCTAGGATTTTTTTATTAATTAGATCGGATTTATTCATTAGACACCATTCGGCTAATTTCGATGCTGCCTATTACGGAGAAATAATAATAAAGTAAAGAATAAAAATAAAGTAAAAAAATAAATTAAAAATAAATTTTATTCATTTTCAATTTTTTAGTTAAATAAGAATGATTAAAAATTAAATACCTGCCAGGTACATAATCCAGTTGTTCCTTGTGATATAATACTTGTGCTTTCCTCTAAAGTGATACAGATATTCTTTTCAATTAAAAAATGACGATAATGAGTCGACGATTCTTCATCTTTCGATGATATCAATTTACAATATTCGTCATATAGTTTATTGTCAACTTCGTCGTTATTTTCTTCCAACTACGTAAGAAATGAAAAATTAATTCTAAATTCAATTTAATTAATAGTAATAATAATAATGAGGAAAAAATTCTTCACCTTATCGATTAGCAATTTTAGAAATGCTTTTAGATACGATTTTTTTAAAGGATATTTCCTTACAATCTCATTATTTACTGTATTATCAAAGATTTTCTCTTGAACGCAAATATTTTCTATTTTAAATCCATTTTTCTCGAAGGACTGAAAAATAATTTTTAAAATATACGATAAAAGTAGACTAGTAAAAAAGAACTTCTTACTTACTTTTTTAAATAAAATTAGCAATTTTAAAAATAATAGAATTTAAAAATTTTTATTTCAAATTTTTGTTGAAAACACTAAAAAAAAATTAATTTTGAAGAAATTATAAACTAATTGCAAAAATTCAATTATTTTCAAAAGTGATAAAATTCAATTTTTAAAATTTTTTTGAAAAATAATAATTGGAGTTTTTGCAAAAATGTTTACTAATTTATAAAAATAATTGAATTCTTACGGAAAATGTTATTTATGAAAATAATTGAATTCTTGCGAAGAATTTTATTAAAATTTTCGAAATTAATAAACAAGAATAATTAATTAGTAAATTAGTTAATAATAAAACAATAGTAATTATAAATTATATAAGCTTACCATAAAATCAAATTTTTTAAGAGGAATGCAAGAGAAAAATTGTTTTTTTATATAATCTATACTAATATCATCCGAATCCATTGTTTATAAAATCAGTATAAATATTAAAATATTTTTTTGTAAATAAAATTTCAAATTGATATTCGTGCCGTACTATTCGAATATTGCTTATTTAAAATCTTTCAAATAGAGAAAAATTTATTGTCTTTTATCGTATCAAATGATATTTTTTTATTCTGCTTCAATTATAAATATTTTATTCCTCATATATTTAACAATTGCTCTTAATAAATTTAATAAATAAATAATTTGACACATAACCTATCTAACCTATTTAGTGGTAAACACCGGGACGCCATCTTTGTTATATCACGTGACCTTTCAGTCTGAAGTATGTAACGGAACATAGAAGGGTAACTCGAATATGTGAATTTCAACGATTTCAACAATAAACATATTATTAGAAAATAACATTTTAGTCAAGAAAATTTATATCCCATTTAAGAATAACACGAATAAAACAAGAGTTATGTTTTTTTTACTCTAAAACTGCAATTTAGTAGAAATTATTCAAGGGGAAAATTGTTAAATTGACTCTAAAGTAGCATACACAGTTTGCGTCTCTTATCAGTTCGTAGTTCATGTCGTGTTCTCATAAATTCGTCTGGTAATTTGACAGATGATGACAGTTCGGATTGTGAATGTGTTTTCTTTTTTTTTATTCACACACATTCTGAATAGTTCAATTATTAGTAACTCTAATAACTAAATTAACGTGAAATAAAATTAAGAAATGTGTCGCGATTCTTGACACACGAAAAGTGTATAATTTTTCTATTCGAAAAACAAATTCCCCGGCGAATTTACAATTTTATAGAAATACCTTCAATTTATTCACTTTTATAAAGCATAGAGCTTATCGACATTGTTTTTTCTATTAATAATGAGATAATTGCGATAATTATATAAAGGAAACAAGTATTTTTCAAGCTGTGATAGAATTGTATATTTGAAAAAGAAAAGAGAAGAAATTTGACTTTGACATCATGGCATCAGCAGCTGAACAACCACAGCAGACTACCCTCAATTTCTATCAGGCTATGGCAGACTTTAAAATTATGTTTCCTGAGATGGATGATGATGTAATTGAGGTAATTTGAATTTTTCTATTACCTTACATTGTCTTTGTTTTTAATGCAAAAAAACAATTGACTTTCTGTTCTTTTGCTTTTTTGTCTTGAATATTTTAGAAAATTTACTTTTGAATTTAAAATTCTATTCGAAAAATTAGTGTTTAAGAAAACGATTTCAATCCAAATTATTAATTACAAAATGTTGCTTACTTTTCAAATTACTTATTGTTGATCGATAAATTAGAATAGAAATTAAAATTTACAATTAGAAAATTATGGATCTTGAAAATTAATTAGTCATAAATTGACAATATTATTAATAATAGTTAAATAATCTTTAACGTCCGAGATTCTGTATAAATAAAGGCAAATAAAACGAAAACATTCGGACAATGAATAATTTATTTATTTAGTCCAATGTTTCGAAATCAGATTTCCTCTTCAAGGAGTCAAAAAAAAGAGATTTGCCTTAATTATTAATTATTATGATTAACAATATTAAAAATTAACATTGATAAACAAATTACAATATTTAAAATATTTTGAATTAAAATTTTATTGTCTAGACAATTAAATAGAATAAAAGGAAAAATTTCGAAATGTTTTTTTTTATTTATTTTTTTAAAATAAATTTGTCTTATTGTGAATTTATATTTAACTGAATTGAATATTATTGTTTACAGGCAGTATTGCGTTCAAATCAGGGGGCAGTTGATACAACGATTGACCAGTTATTATCAATGAGCACAGATAATGAGAATGAAAAGATTCGCAGTGAATTGGAACAAGACGACGGTGATGTGCCTGGTGCAAAAGCAGTGAAAACAATAAAATCAGACGCATCAAGTCGATCGAAAAGCATTCAAAAGTGGAAACCACCATTATTGGGACCATTGCCCGAAACATTTCTTCGTATTCCGCAGCAAATAATTGAGGGCACTGAAGAATTACAACTTGACAATTCATTGCTCGAAGACGAAAGAATTGCAATGTTTTTACAAAATGAAGAATTTATGGCTGAATTACGTTGGAACGAAGACTTTTTATCTACCCTAGAAAATGGTGTGTATAAGCTTCGTGTTTTTTTTTAAAGACAAGATAATTTTGTTTTTCAACATTTTTTTTATCACTAACAGTTATCGTCTTGAAATATATAAATAAATTTAATTTATCTTCCTAATTTTCTCTTCTTATTCTTTTCTTTCAATTTTCTTTTCTCCTTTTCAGATACAAAATTACAAGGCGCAAAATGCGGAACCACTGCCGGTCATGAAGATGAGGATTTGTTTAAAGAAAGATTACGAAACATGGGAAAAGGTATTTTAATTTTCGAAAATGTGTTAAAGATTTTACCAAATTTCAATTATTTTTTCAAAGATTTTACCAAATTAAAATTATTTTTCAAAGACTTTACTAAATTTAAATTATTTTTAAAAGATTTTATCAAATTTAAATTATTTTTCAAAGAATTTACCAAATTTCAATTATTTTTCAAAGATTTACCAAAGATTTTATTAAATTTCAATTATTTTGCAAACATTTTACCAAATTTCAAATTTTTTAAAAAGATGTTACCAAAATTCAATTATTTTTAAAAGATTTTATCAAATTTAAATTATTTTTAAGAGATTTGATCAAATTTCAATTATTTTTTAAACATTTTTATCACATTTTCTTCTCAGTTTCACGTCGCAAATTTGCACAACTGACGAAAGTTTTTACACGAAGCAAGAAACGAGGTGGTCGCCAATTATTGCCACCGACAGCTTCTTGCGATGATCTTTTGGATCCCGAAGAATCATCTAGACCACGAACTTAAGACTTGGAAAAAATTGATTTAATTTTCAATTTTTTTGTTGCGTTACGTGCCATTCGTCGATTGAGACAAACTCAAAATTTTTCTTCTTTATTTTTATTTACATACAAAGATCATGAATCCCGGTGTTATTGGAAACTTTTGTGATTTTCATTTTCTGAAAGCTTTAAATGTTTAGGTAAGTTAAACAAATTTTAATTTTAAAAAACAAATTTAAAAAAAAGGTTTTTTTATTTTTTGTATATTTTTCTTTTATTAGTACAATGTTTTTTTGTTATTTCTGTTTTAATTATTTATATACATTATTTGATTTTTTTTTTTTAATTTTTAAGTATAAACATTTTCCATGACAATGATATTGTGAGAGGATAATTTTTATTGAATTGTTATTTGACTGATTTTTTTAAAGATTTTTAATTACTTGTTTTTTTTACATATTTGTACTGTAACTTTTAATGATCTGTTTTTATTGAAGATAAAAAAAATACAAAATAATATAATACGATCCATAGATTTATGAAATGAAAGGCTAAAAGGAATAGGAAAGTTGCGTTTTTAAAGAAAATTTTAACTTGTACGATTATTATTAGCACTGAAGCGAAAAAGTTACACCAGTGGAATTTCAAACCATCGTAATTTAGAATTATGAAAATTATGAAACAAATTTTACATTTTTATTTTTTCCAATAATTCAATTTATTGTTATGATTTTTTTAACAATTAGTATGTATAAATTTCAGTTTCTAAGGAAAGTGAAAAAATTATTTAGCAGTCTATGTGATTTGGTTTTATTTCAATAAAATTAAATGAATTGAAATTTCATTGGTGGCTTTTTAATAATAATAATTAAAATTTTAGAGTAAATCCAAACAAAATTGTGGAGGCTAACAAAATTTAATGAAAAAAAAGGAATTTGCTTTAGATTTTTAGAAAACAAAAAACTAGTCAATGAGTGTGTAGCCAATATTATTGTTTTCTTTCAATAATTAATTATAATTTTATTATAATGCATAATTATATAATAGGTAAAACGCAACGAAAAATTTTTTTCAGTTTTTTTGTTTTTCGTTTTTTAAAAAGTAGAACAGGGTTTTAATTCTTAAGTCGTTGCATAAATCAGAGAAAATAATCACTTTTAAAAGTTCCCTTGCTATCACAATAATAAATTTTGTTTCGAAATTATTAATTGTATAACAAAGTGATTTTGTTTATTTAAAAAAAATTATTTTAGTTTAAATTAAAAAGAAACAAAATATGAGGAAGCAAATTTATTAAGAATTTCTCTTTATTTGAAATATTCTCATTATTAATTAAAAGTAAATTTAAAAAAAAGAAACATATCGTTATAGGTATCCATTGTTTTCTTTCATGCATTGAGAATTGAAAAAGTGTTTATAAATCTCTGAGAATAATTAGTTTTTAAAATAAATATTACCGTGGCATATTACCTGTTAATGTAGAAATATTTACACGAATCATATTATTGGTATAGATATTTATATAAATATATAGGTATATAATAGAATTACTACACGCAAAAAAAGACAATTTTTTCTAATTAAAAAAATTATTTTAGAAATTTTTTATTTATATTTTTTTTCATTTTTAATATTTATGTCCAATTTTTTGTTTCATCTGCTTTTGAAAATTATTTTACAAGACTGGTACGAGTTTGAAAAAACTTTTCTTCTGAATGATCATTATTTAAATATTTTGAAAAAAGAAAAGATTATTAATACTAATTTTCCTAATATGGTGAATTTGTAATTAACTAAATATGGTAATTTTTTTTGTTATATCGTCGTTCTGTGAAGAAAGCGATCATAAACAATAGAATGTGATAGTATTTAAGAATAAAATAAAAGAAAATAACAAAAAAACGGGATAGTAAATTAAAAAAACTATCTAGAAGTAATTGTGATTTATAAAATATAATCAGTTTACAAGGTTACATACTGTTATCATAAATGCCATAGCCTTTCACAATTATATCGCATCGAGCATATATATGTATATAAATATACATAAATATAAATATAAATAAATATATGAATAATGAATATTTATATGTATTTATATTTATAGAAATAAACTGAAACTGAACAGTTAAAAAAAATTGTTCTTCATTACCATGCAAAAATATTGACAATGAGAATGACTAATTTTTTTTAAAATTATTATGTTTCATCATTTGATTTTTTTTTTAAATTTAAAATATGTGTCGATTTTTAAATTGTTTAATATGTTAATGAAAAATAAATTCTATAAATAATAAAATTCTTTGGAAAATAATTTTTTTTGAACGTCAAACGAGACCATTCTTTATAATTTTAATTATTTTACAATATTAAAAACGATACGAATTATTTATAAATTTAATAATTACAGGGCTCGAACTAGGTCCATAAATCCCGTAAAGGTCCGAAAATTTGTTTCAAGTCCGTAAAAGTCAGTTCTTTTGAAAAAAAGTCCGTAATTATTTTTAAAAATTTTATTAAAATTCGTCCAAATAATTTAATTATTTAAAAATTTGTTCATAAAATTCTTTATGAGAATTGAATTTTAAGAAACATTCAATAAATTATTTATTTTTGTATTTAAATAATTAAATTCTAGTAAATTTTCTAATAAAAACTGTTTTAAAAATGATTAATTGAAATGATGAAATAATTTTGAACAAGTACAATATTTTTTAAATAAAAAAATGATTTTAAGTAAAATATTCTCTTATTTGACTCGGACTTGTTATATTTTTGTCAGTTATTAGTCCGTAAATGGTCCGTAATTTAATTTTTGGTCCGTAAAGTCAGTATTTTTAAATACTTTCACTGCTTCGAGCTCTGTAATTAAAATAAATTATTTAATTTTCGTAATGATGAATTTTCTTAATTAATCTAGTATTTACAGTACAAAGCCATTGCGGATTTTTTAATTATCCACAATCAGATAAATAAATTAAAATCCTTTTTTATTTTATTTCTTTCAACTTAGAACGTTATTTTATTTTTTTTAGTATGAATAGTATATACAAAATTGTAATAATATAAAAAAATATAATAGAAATAATATATTATTATTTAAATAATTTGAAAATAATCGCAAAGTGCTTGAATTTTGTGAATCAAATTTCTGCCAAATTAAATCGAAATTGAAATGTAAATACTTACAAATATTAAGAATCTTGTTTGAAAAATATTCTCGCACCCGATAAACTATAATACAACAATTGAAATTCATCTCTACGATCCGACAATCGTTTCAATGTCAATGCACGCGTTTGCTGTAATTTTTCATCCTCATAATCGGCTTTACTCTCAGTTTGTGATTTTTGCTCATTTATATAATTATTCACAGTCTCAAACCACTCGAGTCCATCGAGTTCATTGCTTTGATTTAATAATGCATTTATATAAGCCAAACCCATTGCAAATCCATCGTCAGTGAACGCCGCACCAGTTTTATCTTTCTTGAATAATTTCTCCTTATTTGACACCGCATTGTCGACAAAGCTCAGCGTTAACGGCGGTACAATTGCATAGAACTGCTGTAAATGATACGATTTCTTACAATCACGAAATGCGGTCGAAAAAACATCGACGAGTAATTTAAAATACTCGATACCCTCTTTAAAATTTCTCACAATATTCTCAATGTCGTCGTCCAATCTTTTCGCTGCATTTTGCGTTGTTTCCGAATAATTTAAATTCTTGCAATGCGATTCAAAATTCACTTTTGAATTGATATCGGGGAGGAATGAAATTGCTTTTGAGCAGGCGTGCATACCGCCGGAGCGAATTAGACGGACGTAGCCGAGAGAGTTGCCGATTTGGGTGATCAGGAGGCGGAATTGATCCAAGTAACTAAGACCGTCGGGGGTTAATCCTAGTTTTCGGATTCCGTTCTGGAATTTTTCTGCTCTTTCGTAAGGATACGGGGAAGAATTGCCTTCGCGTTGGGATTTTATAAAGCGGATGTCGCGCATTAGTCGGGACTTGATGTGCTCGTCGAAGAGAAATTGAGAGAAGGTATGCAACTTGATGCGTAGGAATTGGTACACGAAATTCACGGTTGTACTCATGATTCCCGTTCCGTGAGTTCTTATCGAATTCGCAATGTGGCGAATTCCGATCGTGTTTAGATGCTTGCTCGTACTTGTGTGTTCAATAAAAGTTTGAGTATGTAAATTATAAAGATACTTGGAGACGAAAATTTGTATTTTTCTCATTATCTCCAGTGCGTCGACTCCTTGCTCCAAAGTTTGGGTTGGCAAATGATTTCTTATGGTATCCAACCCCAATTTGTACTTCGCGAGTGCGTGCATCGTGCCATAGATTTTCCAGTCATGCAAAGCGACTGTTGTCAGATTATAAAAAATATCGTCCAAATAATGTTCGATATATCTCTTCACTGATATCAATCTATCCTCATTCGCCAACGGCAGTGATTGCACGAATCTCAAACTATTCTTCGCGCCGATTTTGAACGGATTCGTGGAATTCGGCTTGAAATCAGTATGAACGTCGAGGCGGAGATTTGTTTCGATTTCCCCACCGCAGGCAGGTTGGAGAATATTTTTCATCAGCATTTCCTTCTGATCGGCGATTTTCGTTCCAATTTGGGCGAATTCCGATTGACGAGTGACGGCCGTGTTGAAAGCGTCCAAAATGTGAACGATGTGGGATATATTTTGATTGCTCTCGAAAACGGTGGCGAAATAGGCGGCGAGCATTGTCTGGTGATGGAGGAGAATGGAATAGTCGCAGGTTTCAGTGACGCGATCGTAGAGTTCGACGATTGTGTCGTAGGTGTCGAGATAGAGGCGTAATTTAATGACGTCGTCGTCTTTGAAAGCATCGGTTAATTGACTTGCGCAGGCGAGTGAACAGCGGACAATTAGACGACGATCGGCTGTCGCTGCACCGCTCATTAATCGCATACTCAGACCAATTAGTGATAGAGCGTCGAGGCGCTCACGTCTGTAACCCTTGTCCTTTTGCGTTAGGCCTTTGCGAATTGTGTCTAAAATACGAAGAATATAGTAACTCACTTGCTGCAGGACTTTACATTGGGATTGCACTATCATCGGGCCCAATGTGTGGAAACTCGTCTCTAAACACTTTTGTACTTCGATCAATCTGAAATATTAAAATAACATTTCATTTCCAAATACAAATTTAAGATCAAAAAAAGAACAACAATAGAAACAAAATTGAAATTACCTGCATATCAATTGCACAGTGCCACGAGTCATTGGTTTCGATAAAGCCGCATGTAAATTAGAAATAAACATGACATTCTCCCTAATCAGTCTCATAATTATCAAAACTTCATTAAGCAAAAAGCATTGTCGTTCAATTTGCAATACTTGAAAACCATTTTTATAAAGTATACTCTGTATTTCAATGGACCATATTGTCGCACGATGAATTAATGCATTTGCAATTGTTGATAATTTTTGTGTTCTCATTAAAAGTATCTTCTCACCTACTTGCGCACTAATTTGACTAACACTATCCTTTGGTAAATAATCTTGGAGGAATTTATTCGGCATCCACAGTACATTGCCAGATATTGTCAGTGCATAATATTTTTTATTAATCTCATAAATTCTCTTAATTAATTTTTTATCATTAGTGCCAAAAAATTTTGATGCAATAACAATACCAATATTCACCCTTGACCAATTACGTTCCAATGAATAATTCTCATTATTACATTTTGTCTCAATATCTGTCACCGTATTCCTTAGAAATGATAAAAAATGATCGGCCATTGTTGAATTTTTCGTAATATCCATTGTACGTTCGATTGCCTTTAAAAATATTGTCCTCGACAATAGTTGATGATTTAGATCCTTGAGGAGATTTTCAAATGTAATTAAACGATTTTCCTGTATTGAAATTTGTGTCGTATTGTGAAATACCGAACGCACTTGAATTCGATACTTTTTCCAACGTGCAATTATCGATGATTGTGAATCTATTATTTCGTCTAGAGTTACCTGAAAAAATAAGAAAATATATGTAAAAAAAAATTGTTAAATTGTAAAATTGCTGTCGTATACTCACCAAAATGTAGAATAAATCCAAAAGATGTTCCATTAGGAGAGGAAGATAAATTTCATGTGGTTTCTCGGATAAACTCGACAATTGTTGAACGGTCAAATGAATAACGGTATTAATGCGATTAATGTATGTCGAAACATCTTGTAAATCGGCGATGAGACTTGAAATATTTGAATTATTTGGATCTAAATTTTTTTCACCTTGGGCAAATAGTTTATTATGAAAATTCACAGCTTCAATTTTGAGCATTCTTATTTCCCTGCATGTGCCAGCGACTGCCGCCAATATTTTTGAAAACATTTTATTTTCCGTTTCAACTAATGTTAATAAACTAATATCTTCAACAGGCCTATAAACAACACGAATAGGTCCCTCAATAATATTTTCCAATGACGATAATTCATTATGAACAGTTTCGGCTAATTTCTCAAAGAATTGTCCATATTTTGCAAGTTGAGCTGATCCCGCCGCTTTGTACACGGATTCGTCTCGTCTTGGATTCCACGATGAGGATTCAATCATTTTTGTCGAACTTTTGAGTAGTATCAGTATTTATTTATTTATTTTTAACGTATAAAACTCTATTTTTTTTCTTTAGAGAGAAAATATCGAAAATATTTCGTTTTTTAGGTTAAGTTATTGTATGTACATTTCTTTTTGCTTTTTGGTGTATAGAAATTATTCTTGTCAACTATCTGGGAATGTGTTTCAATACGAAGATAATGCAGTAATTGAAAAAAATATTCGATATTTGTTTTGACATTTGGTTTTTTTTTCTTGTTTATCAAACAGGTTTTACGCACGTGACACTCTGTACTCCAATTCCAATCGATTAGTAACTAAATTATGATCAAACAAACTTTTTCACTGAATTAATAGTTTATATTTTCTTTACTCTACTATTTTTACTATTATTTTAATAATAAATGTCTTTTTCTGTATGAAAAATTGTGTATTTAAAATTTAAAATAACTACTTTTCTTTCTACATTCTATGAACTGAAGTTATCGTAAAGAAGTACAGGTTGGCCAACTGAAATCAGCTGTTTCAAAGAGCGCCGATTTTTTAAATTTATAAACTATTTTACGGCCGCTGCAAATAAAAACAAAAAAAAAATAGAAATCTTCCAAAAGCTTGAATAATTCCTCGAATTTCAAATTCCGATGTCGAATATTTTTTTTGAATAATTAAAACATTTATGATTTTACATTTCGATAATTGACTTATGAACGGTCCTTAAGAAAAAAACGTTATGTTTCCTATCTTCATCGATTTATATAATTTATGGTCATTATATGGCACTTGTGCCACGTATTTTTGCAGGAAAAAGTTATTATTGGATTAACAATTAAACTGTCTGTCTTTTTAATGTTCGTTAACTATTTGTGTCAAGGGGCTTAAGCGGTCTTCCTTGTTTTAATATGGGATCATCGTACAGCGTTGAAATTCCCGGTGGCGGCACTGAAGGTTATCACGTTCTCCGGGTACGTTTCTGTCAAAATCACTTAACCTAATTTCAAGAGAAAAAAAATATTTTCTTCTCTCAAAAACAAAAGTTTGAATTTCAAAAATGACAATAATTCTCGATTAGGTACAAGATGGTTCACCAGGTCAAAAAGCCGGTCTCGAGGCTTTCTTCGATTTTATCGTAGCTATTGGAAACACTAGACTAGTAAGTTTATCAAAAACAAAATGTTTTTTTTATTTTTTACCAGATGCTAACAATTGATTGTTATTACAACCAAAACCATTTCAATTGCTAGCAAATTAAAATTTTACACTTGAAATTTAAATCCCATTGACTTTGGGGAGAAAAGGATAGTAATTAGAAGTTTTATCAACAGGATCAAGATAATGACACGTTAAAGGAACTTTTAAAAAATGGAATAGATAAGGAATTGCAAATTACTGTATATAGTAGTAAAACACAATGTATTAGGGAAACTGTAATTGTACCAAGTGTCACTTGGGGAGGTCAAGGATTGCTTGGAGTTAGCATTCGATTTTGCTCCTTTGAAGGTGCGAACGAAAATGTTTGGCACGTACTCGTAAGTTTTTTGCAATATTTTCGTTCATTTTTACAAAATATTTTTGTGCATTTTTAAATGCGTGTGTAATTCTTATTCTTCCAGGAAGTTCATCCTTCGTCGCCGGCCGAATTGGCTGGATTGCAATCATTCACAGATTACATTATTGGTGCTGATTCGATTTTACACGAAAGCGAAGATCTCTTTAGTTTAATCGAGGCTCATGAATCTCGATCACTGAAACTTTATGTTTACAACACGGATTTGGATTCTTGCCGAGAAGTCACGATTATTCCCAATAATCAATGGGGTGGTGAAGGAAGGTAAATTATAGTCAAAATTAAAACTCATTTCAAGTATCTTTTTAATAATTGAATTAAAATAAAAAATGAATTGTTTTTAGTCTGGGCTGTGGCATAGGATATGGTTACCTGCATCGTATTCCAATTAGAAGTATACCTGACACGAAACCAATGAATTCTTATATCGTACGTTCTTTATTTATTTTTGTTTCCTTATTTTTTAATCTTATTGTTGACACTTTATTTTAATTGAAACTTGGATTGTAGGCAAATCAGGCGAATGTAGTTACGACACAAGTAACGAATTCGATAATGCCCCAAGTGTCTAACGTTGGAACAACTTCAGTGACAATTCCCACCGGATTTACAATACCCACGAGTTTGGCGCCAGGTCCACAGGTATCACACGTACCACAAGCACCAGTTTTGTCCTCGGAAGCTCAAGTTGCTTTTCAAGTTGCGCCACCGAATCCTGGAGTTGCTCCGATTAGTTCGGTTTTAGTGGACATACCCGGCTCGACAAATTCAACCGCACATTTATTTTCTCCACAAACAGTTTTACCAAGTAAAATAATTTTTTTTTAAAACTAACGGCAAATCTAATTGAAAATTTCATTTATTTCATTTATTTTATTAATTTCTTTTTAGATACTGAGCACACGACATATCAGAGTACACCGAATATTCCCGGGATGCCGCCAACCTCACCATTACCACCGCTTCCATTTGACATCACTGCAATGAGCAATGTCTCGACTCTCGGCAGTCCAACGCAAATTTACAATCCAATACCAACTGCAACGGTTCCATCGACATTACCATACGGTGTTGTGCCGCAATCGCAGATTGTCACGCCGATTTCACTGCCTGGAATGCCTCCAATTACTGTTAGTGCCGCTATGCCGCAAAATCCCTCTTTTTATCAACCAGTGAGACAACCTGAAGTACCAACGTCTCATTCCGTGCCTCCGACACAATAAACATCAATTTTATTATAATTCAGGGAAATTTAATTTCTTTTTTTCTTTCTTATTTTGTGGACTGCTTTAACCAATTTTTATTAAGTTTTGTATTTTATATATATGTGAATTTTTTGAATGAAATACAAACTGCTAAGTAAGATATAACACGATTGTAATTTTAAAGAAAAAAGTATACAATATAAAAAGAAAATGGAAAATGGCATTGTTTTTTTAGTTTTTTTGTTTCTGTTTATATAAATGCTTAATTGTATATAAATAAGCAATCTGTATAAAAATTTGATTTTCATTTGTAAATTCAAATACAAGTTATAAAAATATTTTGATAAAGGATTATTGAATATTGGTATTTATGTATTTGTGTAAGAATATAAGTACTACGAAATTTTTTCGTAGATAACTATAATATGAGACGAAAATAAAGCGTGAATTTGAAATATGTAAATGTTCGATTGTGGTAACTAATTATTGTAATGTAATTTTTTTTACATTAAACATTTTTTTCTTATCTGAAATATTTTAACCTCTGTTGGAATAGAATTTCAAAATTCTTTCAATTTTCTGTTAATAAACAAGTTGAATTCAATCTTTTGTTTCTTTATTAAATAATTATAATTTGATAAAATCTTTGAAAAATAATTGAAAATTGGTAAATTTTTCGAAAAATAATTGAAATTTGATAAAATCTTTGAAAAATAAATTAAAATTTTTTAATATCCGAGGCTTGGGTTTGTTTGGCATGAAAAAAATTACAGTTTTCTCGGATGACGTGTTGTATTTATAACTTTAAAAATTGATCAAATGCATATTACGTGGTTTTTACATTTTTGAGTTTCAACTACTGAATAGTGACTTTTAACAACGAGAAATGTTTTATCAATAAATACAGCATTTTATTTTCTGACCCTATTTACATTGAACTCGAGATATAACTGTACTTTCTTAATATTTCATTTCATTTCTCCAAAAACAATAAATTAATATATCAAGAAACAAAACTACAATTTTCCTTTACTTTTGTATAAAACATTGCAGTGTGTGTACTACCAGCACTTTTCGACGATTCGAAGTTTGAAAACCAAATTAAATAATAACTTCCGTATCACCTAATTCTTCATCAGTTGGAAGTTGAAATTCCGAGAGATCAAAATAGTCTGAATCAACTGGTGGAAGACCTAGTTCTTCTCTTCTCCTAAGCTCCAAATAAGCCTCTCGTTGTGCCCAATCGATCATGTTTTTGTTTGGCAAAAACATGGAATAATAGCTTCCAAGAACCAAGCACACTGTGACGGAAACAAAAAATGTGAGATGGGCAATATGACGATCCATTCTTTTATCTTCGGTATCGAATCCCCAGCTCACCCAATTCTTCTTTACTGGATAAAGATCCTCAGGCGAACTTGTCACTTCGGTAACATTCTTTTTCGATGAGGTGCCAATTTTGCGACATAAATTCTTACTTCTCGCAACTAGACTCACATTTTTCGTTAAACCTTGTAGAACACGTAGGCGAAACAGTCCTGACATTGTTAATGTTTTTCTATAATAAAAGAATTTTTATATTATGTAAAAACAATTCTTTGTCGAATACAATTTTATACAATTCCACAATTCCTTTTTACATAACCTTAAAATTAACAACTTGTTTATATTACTGGAAAAGAATTAATAAAAGAATTTAATATAGACTTTTATTAAAAATAAGTAAACAAATATTAGTACTGTGGAAAATTAAGATAAGATTCACAATAAAAATAGAATTACCCAATAAATGGCAAGAAGAGAATTATTTAATTTTAAAAAACTTAGACTATATAATGTTTAGAGAGGAGATCGAGATCGCAGATATCTTTCATCTATTTTGTTGTGAACTTGCCTTAAAGCGGAAGAAGTTCCGAACTACCTAACCCTGCATTGCGGTTTCCCTGCGGCGCTGACGATATTCTTCAAAATGGCGGCTATTGACCGAGTTGTTAATGATTATAAATTTGTCAGTTTTGCATAATTTTTTTCCATCTGTTTAATTGTGTTTAATTTCGAATACATTATTGAGCCAGGACTTCGGATTAAAGAAGAATATATATTAGATTTCAATTAAGGTTTATCACTACAGTCCACAATGGATTCCATTCCACGGACACACGAAGGTAACTATAGTTGTATATTTCTCGATAGAATTACAACTTTTTCTGTACTTTTCGTTTAAAACGCAAATAATAATTAGTTTTAACTAATAAGTTTTATAATAATGATAAAGAAATTCACAAGAAGGGGATTTTATGCTCAACCATTAAACATAATCTCGAGCTATAAAATTCTCTCTTATTGAAAAAAAGAAAAACTAATAAATACGTAATTAAACTTCGCCTTTTCCATAAAAGTAGTGTAGAAAGTATTATATTAATCAATCAAGTTTTTAAACTTTATCTACATTTGACATTTTTGCCTATTACATTTTTTTTAATAAATACATGGAAATATAAATAAATAAGTTGAAGAAGACATAACCTAAAATAAAAAATGATCGATTTAATACATTTAATATTAATCATTATGAATTTGAATTATCTGAATGTATATTAAAGTTTTCATTGAAATACAATTTTTAATTATATATTTTATTCAAACTATGATTATCTTAAACAAAAAAAAACCAGGATGGCCGCATGTCAGTAAACCAACATTTTTGTCAGTAAAGTCAGGGAAATTTAGAAAATTGACTTATTTTCAAAAATTGTTACTTTTTCGACTTTTTTCCAAATATTATACCAAAACATATTTTTTAGGGTTGAATGTAACTCATTTCGATTTTTATAGTGTGAAAAAATTATTTTTGAATTATTTCAGACATTGAAGCACAAATTCGTGAATTCCAGTCTAGAAAGAAGGAAATTGTCAATCAGAGAGATCATGAAAATGACAATGCAATGGCAGGCGAAAATGACCAAGTCGGTTTGGGAACGACTGGATTTTATGATACAGATATTTATGACAGATCCAATAGATTCGATAACATGAAATATTCAACGACAGTTGTCGAAGATGAAATGGAGGTTTGTTCCATTATTTAAAACAATTTTTAAATATCTATATTAATATTTGATAATTTGCATTTAAATGTTATCTTTTTTTCTATAAATTTATTATTAACAAGAAGTTTTAATACTAAAATAATCGTCTCTTTATTAGGATGATGATTACGACTCATCTACGTTCAGCAAAAACAGACCTGGTTACACGGCTCCTGCTTCGGTACTCAATGATGTTTCTCGAGTAAGTTTCACTTTGTTTTACAATTTAATCCAAATTTCCTTTTGTACTTTTAGAAAATATTTTCTTTCTTTCATTCGAGGAAGTATTTTTCTTTTGTGTATAAAGTTTTCTTGTTTGTTTTTAGAGCCAAAAAGATTACGATCCATTTGCGGACAGACGAACGGCGAAAATAATTGAGAGAGAAGACGATTACAGACAGAAGAGACGTCTTATGAAAATATCACCAGAACGAGTTGATCCTTTTGCCGAAGGTTGGTATTCTTTTATTAAAAGTTTTCTTTTCATATAAGAAGGTACGTTTATTTGTATATTAAGAATTTTCAATTGAGCTCCGGGGAATTAATTTCATTCTTTCAAAATGAATAAAATAAATATTAAAACCAGTGAATTTAAATTATTCAGTTCTTGTTTTATTCTCTCTTTTCGTAAATTTTATTCAATGCTAAAATTATTTCACCTGGGGGCTCAGTGTCTTTATTTTCTCGAAAGCATAAAGCACATTATTTCTTCATTTAGTATTAATTCGATGATATGAAGGAAAAATGAAAAAGTATTTTTTAAAAGATAAGATATTTTTTGCAAAATATAAAGAATATTTTTTCATAATTGCTTCACTTAAAAATAATGAAACATTTAATTTAATTTTTTTTCTTTCGTCACATTAGAGGAAAGTATAAATTTTTACGGAAAATAGTATTAAAGATTATTAAAAAAATACTATTTTATAGTTTACTATAAATTTTTACTACTTAGTAGTAAAACGTTTTTTCTTTTAAATTTAAGATCCAGTATTTTCTACAAATATGACGATGGAAAATTTAATATTTTAAACATTTTCAAGTATTGCTTTTGTTTCTCATTCGTAACTTTTTGCTATTGACAACTAAAGATGCTTTTCTAAACTGTAAAATAAAAATCAGTTTGAGAAAAAGATTATTTTAGCTTTACTCTTCTATATTTTTCTCGCTATTTTCTATTTTTTTGCTGATTAATAATGCAAATATTACTTTATAACAGCCGCCTATTTCAAATATTTAATTTTATTTCGATTCAATTTCAATTTTGAAATGTATCGACAAAAATTAATTATACCACACGGACAATTTCCACGAAACAATTAAAATTTTTTTTCAAATACTGTAGACAAGATCTGCTTATGGTTGATGTATTTATTTTTTCTTTTTTTTTTGATAGTCTGGATTGAATGGTAAAGAATGAGTGAGTTTCGTTCGAGCTCATACTAATGTTACCGTTTTTTTCCAATCTTAGTGGCGGTCTGCACATTCGGAATCATCAACTTATCCAGGGTACTATAAATCAAAGGTCAAAACGATACTGAGATGTAAAAAAAGCCCTATTCAAAAAACCTGTTTCAAATATTGATAAGCCAAAAGTGTTGACGCTCTAAATATTGCAATTCTTATTTTTAAAAAAATTAATTATTAATATGATTAGAAAAATTGTGAGTCGAATTTAGAATTGTAGATTTTACAAAAAAAATTTTTAAATTAGAAAATAATTTTCCAAAAAAGAGTCAAAGAAAAGAAATTTGCTGACTTTCGATTAATTAAATTTTCAGTTTTATAATAAAATGATTATTGGCTTTTAATGCAGGTTTTTTGGAGAACGTGTTCTTTCAAATGAATAGAATGAATGGTCTGAATGCAAATATTATTAATAACAAGAATGAGTTGATTTTTAGATGGCTAAAGTATTTTTCGATGTGGAAGAGATGAGAGCAGGACAATGCTCCCTAATGGCGGCAATTCTCCACGTACGTATGATACACAGCTAGCTACTGACGAATCATTCCTACCTGCATTTTTTTCTTTCTCTTTTTCTGAGACAAAAAAAAATATTAGAATTTTTCAAAAAATAAATTTTCATTATTCGCGCAGGTAGAAGACAAAAGGGTTGAAAACAAAAATGAGAGTGATCTCAGTAGCTTTCTTAGAATATATTTGAAATATTCTAAGAACAAAAAAAGAAATACTTTTTTTGAAGTTGGTTAGGTCAGCAACAAATTCAAAATATAGAAATTATAAATATTCTTTGATCAAAAGAAACTAACTGTTGCGCTTTGCGTGACATTTGATTCATGATTGCAGGTGGCAAAACTCCCGATGTCGGCTCCAGGACTTACACCGAGATTATGAGAGAACAGCAATTGAAAGGAGAAGAAACAGAGGTGAATTTTATATTATTTTCGTTATTAAAATTACATTACTATTATTGTTATTTGAAAAAATTAATTATTAAATTGAAAATATTTATTTCATTTGCGAATTATCTATTTAATGAAAGTTTTCGTGAATTAAAATTTACTGTTTCTTTTCCTTAGATAAGAAGAAAGTTGGTAGAAAAAGCTCGAGATGGTACTTTAAAATCAAATGGAGAAACAAAAGTGGCGCCGAAAAAACGCGGCCGATGGGATCAGACCGATGACGCTCCGACGCCAAAAAAATCGACCAGCGCCGCTGCAACTCCAACTTCTTGGGATAATGCAGACGTAAGAAAATTTTTCTGACATTTTATTTTAGATTCATATTTACAGGACTAGAACTAGATCCGTAAATCCCGTAAAAGTCAGTTTTTTAAAAAAAAAGTCCGTAATGACTCGAATTTTTTTTTAATTAGGCAACACCAGCGACGATTAGATGGGACGAGACACCGGGACATGGAAAAGGCGGCGAAACTCCTGGTGCGACGCCTGGTGTCAGTACAAGAATGTGGGACGCAACTCCTGGACACGCGACTCCTGGCGCTGCAACACCTGGAAGGGAAACTCCGTCTCACGAGAAATTATCCAGTCGAAGAAATCGTTGGGATGAAACACCAAAAACCGAGAGGGGTAATTATATTTAATTATTATTAATTATTTTCTAATATCCACATTTATACGTTGCGATAAATTTCTATATTTTTTTCGACTTAAAAGAATTAATTAGAACATTGTTCTTATTAACAGAGACGCCAGGTCATGGAAGCGGTTGGGCCGAAACCCCCAGAACGGACCGAGTAGCCGGTGATTTAATCCAAGAAACGCCAACACCATCGGCGAGTAAGCGACGCAGCAGATGGGATGAAACTCCATCGAATCAAACTCCAGGTTCAATGACACCGCAAACACCGGCCACACCTCTGGCAACGCCACATCAGTCGTCAATCCTAACTCCCTCCGGAGTCACTCCGACCGGTCCAAAAGCAATGGGAATGGCCACACCGACACCCGGTCACCTAATGTCCATGACACCGGAACAATTGCAGGCATATCGCTGGGAACGAGAAATCGACGAGCGCAACAAACCGCTGACGGACGATGAACTTGACGCCATGTTCCCCCCGGGCTATAAAGTGCTGCAAGTGCCTGCTGGTTATATTCCAATTCGCACACCGGCGAGGAAGTTGACCGCAACTCCAACGCCAATTGCTGGCACTCCGCAGGGTTTCTTCATGCAGACGGAGGACAGAAATGCCAAGTACATGGACAATCAACCGAAAGGGAATTTACCGTTTATGAAACCAGAAGATGCTCAGTATTTTGATAAATTGTTGGTGGACGTCGATGAGGAGACATTGAGTCCAGAGGATCAGAAGGAGCGGAAAATAATGAAATTGTTGTTGAAAATCAAAAATGGCACACCACCAATGCGAAAAGCTGCTCTTCGGCAAATTACAGATAAGGCCAGGGAGTTTGGCGCTGGTCCACTATTCAATCAAATTTTACCTCTTCTCATGTCGCCTACTCTCGAGGATCAGGAGAGACATCTTCTTGTTAAAGTCATTGACAGAATTCTCTATAAACTGGACGATTTGGTCAGACCTTACGTTCACAAAGTGAGTATTTTTTATTTGTGACGCAATTTTTTCTATTTCTATAATTTACTTCTTGGGAGCACATTTAATTTTATTTATATATTTAATTTTCAAAAAGGACAAATTTAACGAAATTTGGATTTAATTTCAGATTCTGGTCGTCATTGAACCGCTCCTAATCGACGAGGACTACTACGCTCGCGTTGAAGGCAGAGAAATTATTTCGAATTTAGCGAAAGCCGCCGGTTTGGCGACAATGATTTCGACAATGAGACCCGATATTGACAATATTGATGAATACGTGCGGAATACAACGGCGAGAGCCTTCGCCGTCGTCGCATCGGCCCTGGGAATACCGTCGCTATTGCCATTCTTGAAGGCCGTTTGTCGCAGTAAGAAATCGTGGCAAGCACGTCACACGGGTATCAAGATTGTTCAGCAGATTGCCATTTTAATGGGCTGCGCTATTCTACCGCATTTGAAGAGTTTGGTGGAAATTATTGAGCACGGTTTAGTTGACGAACAACAGAAAGTTCGCACCATCACGGCTCTGGCTATTGCTGCATTGGCGGAAGCTGCGACACCCTACGGTATCGAGAGCTTTGACTCGGTTCTCAAACCACTGTGGAAAGGTATTCGAACACATCGTGGAAAAGGTCTCGCCGCCTTTTTAAAGGCCATTGGTTATCTCATTCCACTTATGGACGCTGAATACGCTAATTATTATACCCGTGAAGTAATGTTGATTCTCATTCGTGAATTCCAGTCGCCCGATGAGGAAATGAAGAAAATTGTCCTCAAGGTAAGAAATTCTTTTCTCTTGTTATTTATGTGACATTTTTCTTTTAATACGTTCCTGTGAGTTGTTACAGGGTTGCCACATGAAAATATAAACTTTAGAATAGCAAAAATGAAATAATGTAAATAATTATATCGAACAGATTTCTGAATCAGTGAATCGTATATCGCACACGCACGTTTTACCGAACAATGTTTTTCGTCACAACGCTCAAGACGAACTGAACCTGAACTCATATCCGATCAGTCTATTCACACACTTCCGATTTATCGTTAAACAGGAAATTGATATATTTTCGCGCCTAAAATTTAAATCCTTGACACAAGAATTCAATTCTTTTAAAAAGTAATTATTATTTAAATTCTTTAAAGAAATTCAATTATTTTTAAAAATTCAAACGAATATCTCGTCAAAAATTCAATTATCTTTACAAATAGCAAAAATTTTCGCCATAAATTCAATTATTTTAAAAAATTTTAATAAAATTCTACGCAAAATTTCAATTATTTTTAAAAGTTTTTCGCAATTCAATAATAATATTCTTATGAGTTGTTCAATTTCAAAAGGTTTGAATTTGAATCTTTTGAAAAATTTTTATTCTCATGGAAAAATAATAATTAAATATTTATTTAAAAATTAAGTTATTGATGTTTTCGAATAATTTTGCTTTTGAAGAAATTTGTAAATAAATTTAATAAACCATATTTTTTTGAGTATCTAATCATTTTGAGAGTGAATCAGAATATTCTTTGGGGTCAGGGAAAAAATCAAAGTTCTGTTTGAAAATCAGCGAAAAATAAAGTTACATTTTTGTGGCAACCTTGTGATACGCTCCTGTTCTCACTGCCCTTCCCCCCCTTGATATACACAAACCAAGTGCGTCACTGGCTGGCGTCACTTTCGATCGAAACTTCATGGATTGGAGTTCTGGAGTTCCTCGCGAGCGGTGATACCGAGCGCATCGTGTGTTACATTCGTAATGAAAGTTTACGCTATTTGTGCATATTGCCGTCTTTTGTGAATCGTGATTTTCCTACCGAAGCGTAGTCGAATTTATGTAGTGTAGTGTGGAGAAAGCTTTCAGGTTTTCGTGCTGCTTAGCACGACCAAGTCAGCGTTTCTCTACCGCGCGGACCGCGTGTCAACCGACCGGCCATTTTGAATTCGAGTAGTTTCCATTAAAGCTCTGTCTTGGCATAAAAGTATATTAACCGGAGGGTTTTCCTCCGGTTCTTCAAACATGATGGACGGCTTTGGGGATGACTATGGTCCTCCCCTCTCCCCTCAAACCCAAATGGATGTCGAAAACGCCGCGAACAGTTTAGTTCTTTTAAAGGGTTTAAACGAAAATCGCGACGATTTATCGAATCTCACCGCGAAAAAACACTGCAACAATGATTCGCATATTATTAAACCATCTCAAACTCACGACTCTGACGCATCTAAGGAAAATCCTTCACCAACTCAGCGCACAAAACAAACAAACTCAGACACATCCGACAAAACTAACACAAACACTAATCAGACACCCAGCTATGATAATTCTCTAAAAAGCAACTGTGCAATTTTTATCCAACGAGATCCCAAATCAGCTGATTTTAAAAAGGACCTCGGCCCTATGTCCGTCGGTCGTATCCTTCATCCGTTATTCCCAAACAAAATCGTCGAAATTAATCAAAGTGGACGGGGTAAAGTTAGAGTTACCGTAAAATCGGGTCAAGTGGCGAATCAACTGCTCAATCACCCCCAGCTGTCATCTCACGGTCTGATAGGCATTATCCCTACAAGTTTCGTTTCTTGTCAGGGAATTATGAACGATGTCGACACGGATATCACAGTTGAGGAAATTATTGAGTATGGTGAGGTTATGGGCCCACACGTAAATAAAATCAAAATTATCCAAGCGCGGCGTTTTAATCGCAAAGTTTACGACGAAAAAACCAAGGAGTTTAAGTTCGTTCCGTCGAAAACCGTCCTACTGACCTTTCAGGGTACGGTCCTTCCTCAAAGAGTAGCGGTCTACAAAGGGTCAAGTCCCATTCGTCCTTACTTTCCGAACCCTCGTATATGTATGAAATGCTTTAGGTTTGGTCACATCGCCAAACACTGTCGCTCTCAACCACGATGCAAGTCCTGCGGGGAAAACACCACCCATGACACAGCCAACCCTTGTCCAAACACTTCAAAGACACCAAAATGTGTAAACTGCTCTGGTCCTCATCTGGCTACATCCAAGGATTGTCCGGAATTCACCTTTCAAAAGGAAATCCGTACTTACGCTACCATACACAGACTCTCCTTCATTGAAGCAAAAGCTATCCTTCGACCTAGAAACACAGGTGCAACCCCGAACTCTTTCAACTTCTCAAATTTTCCACAGCTTGGAGAAATCCCAGCTCCTTCTTCGACAAATCAAAACTCTTCTCAACTTTTTTCAGACATCACAAATCTCTCATCTCAAAAACGGAGAAGTCCCATGATTGGACCTGCCACCCAAAAAATTGGCACGCCCCAGTCACGGAAAAGAACTAACTCCTTCTACGCAACACAATGGAACAATGGTAGAGACGGTAGCGATCTTCCTAATGGTTTTGCCCTCTCTGCTTCTCGTTCCATGTCTAATCCTTCAACATCTAACACTATTGATCAAACTTCCAACCATGAATCCTTCCCTTCATTCCTAATCTCCATGATCAAAGATCATGTCACACAACTTTCATCCAGTTCTTCACCAGAAAAAACAAAACACAACGAAAGTCTACTTAATACTATTATAGAAAGCATTCTCTTATTGTTCAACTCCGTAAACAACAACATTAATGGATCAATTGTCTAAAATAAATATCCTGCAATGGAATTGCCGAGGTGTCTCTAAAAAGGCACCCGAAATTCAAAGTCTCTCTAATAAATTCGACGTCCTCCTTCTTTCCGAAACCTTTTTAAAACCCGATAAAAACCATAATTTAAAAATTTTAAAACAATTTAATATTATTAGAAGCGACAGAATAGTAAATAAGGGTGGTGGTCTCATTATCGCCATTCGCAAAAGCTTGATATTTTCAAAAATTTCAACAATTTTTACTCAGGAAGACGAACTTGAATCACTCGCTGTCTCAATTGACTCTTCTTTGGGTGAATTATTAATAGTTTCTGTTTATAGAGTCCCTGGTAGACAAACCCCCCTTAATTATTGGAAACGCTTCTTTAATTCAATCAAAAATTCTGGATTCAACTCCGTTTTTATCGGAGGAGATTTTAATTGTCATAGCACTCTTTGGGGAGGCTCTTATGTCTGTCCCAATGCGCGTAACTTATGTGAAGAACTGGATGAGATGGACCTCATCCTCTTAAATGATGGCTCACCTACCATGGTAGGTCGGCCACCTAATCCCGGTTCTGCATTGGATCTTACTCTCGTCTCTTCAAACCTTTTCACATCCTCATCTTGGAATGTCCTTGACGATCCGCTGGGTAGTGATCATCTTCCTATTCTTTCGTCATTGGGCATTTCAATACCAATGGCATCTTTTTCCTCTCACAAATATAATTTAAGAAATATAAATTGGACCCTATTCTCCACCACACTGCGTTCATCCGTGGAGTCAAATTCTGATATTTTATACACTGATAATCCTATCTCTGATTATAATAATTTTGTAGAACTCGTTGACTTGTCAATTAAAACAGCATGTCCTCAACGGAAAAACGCTCCCGCGAATAAGAATGCTACCTCTTCCAGAAAACCTTTTGTTCCTGCACCTTGGTGGGACAATAAATGCGATGAAGCCATTAATAATAGAAAAGTAGCTTTTAAAAATTATAAAAAGTTAGCTAATTACTCAAATTTTCTTAATTATAAAAAAGCGGAAGCCATAGCTAAGCGCACGCTTAGTGAGGCTAGACGTCAATCATTTAAAAACTTCTGCGATTCCCTGGACAGACATACTCCTTTAACAAAAATATGGGCCATAATAAAGTCTTTTAAAAACCGATTTACTCAACCTGCAACAGCTTCATGCTCAGCAGATAGAGAAACGATAGATAAACTCCACTCCCTTGTGGATGAACTCTATCCCCCTACGGTATTCCACGACAATTTTCCCAATAATTTCGATAATAACCCATTTCTAGAATCAGCCTTTTCTTTATCAGAACTATTAATAGTAATTAAATCTTGTAAAACTAAATCCTCCCCAGGCCTTGACAAAATTGATTTTAATATTATTCAACATTTTCCAGAAGAGTCCCTATCACCCCTCTTATCAATCTTTAATAGAATAATTTCCAGCGGAACTTTTCCTCCTTCTTGGAACAATTTTCTTATCTTTTTCCTTCCAAAATCCTCATCTTCACCTGGTAAATTTCGACCTATTTCTTTGGCCTCTTGTCTCTTTAAAGTCGCAGAAAAACTTATTTATAATAGACTCACTTGGCTTATAGAACGCGATAAAATCCTTAGTCCTTACCAATTCGGTTTTCGGAAGGGCAAATCTTGTACGGATAATCTTGCCTTAATCTCGACAGAAATTTGGTCAGGCTTAGCTCAACGCGAATTTGTCGGTGCTCTCTTTTTAGACATAAAGGGTGCTTTCCCTAGCGTAGTTCCAAATATTTTAGTAAATGATCTTAAATCAATTGGCATTCCGGAATCAATATCTCGCTTTATATACAATTCAATAAAATGTAAAAACATATATGTCAAGATTAATGGCGTGGTTATTGGTCCAAGAACTAGCACTGTTGGCCTTCCACAAGGTAGCATTCTTAGTCCAATTAATTTCGCAATATACACTAGGAATCTGAATACTATTATTCCCGCGGATTGTGAAATTTACGAGTTTGCTGATGACTTATCAGTTTCATGTCGTTCCCCAAATTTAAATCAAGTAATTAACTCCCTTCAAAATAGCCTTAACTCCCTTTCGGATCACTTGTCTGAGAGAGGTCTGGAAGTTTGTCCAGTCAAAACCAAATTTGTTATCTTTAGTAATAAAAAACTTGATCTAAATGATCCAACCCTTACATTATCTTTAAATAATCATATTATTAAACCATGTCCTTCAGTTAAATATCTCGGCATACACTTTCATCAATCTTCCTCCTCTGATACTCATTTTAACTATTTGTGTGATAAAAGTAGAAAGATTTTAAATGTACTAAAGGTGCTTCGAGGTACTTGGTGGGGAGCAGATCCTCAACTTTTACTTCGCATTTTTGACTCACTAATTAGAAGCCCTATTGATTATGGTTCACAAGGCTCTAACTTTAAGTCTCATAAAAATTTTTCGCGTTTAGAAAAGATTCGTAACCAAGCTCTGCGACTAGCCATAGGCTACAGACAGAGCACCCCAATTAACGTAATGCTTGCAGAATGTTGTGAACCCCCTTTAAGAAGTAGATTTAATTACCTTGCTAAAACATATCTCTACAGAGTTTATTCAAATTCCACTCATCCTCTTCCAGCTAAGCTTGCAGAACTCTCTCGACTCACTATTGATTCTAATACCAAATTTAATTTTCCTCTTTTAATTGCCTTCGAAAAATCGAAAACCTACAGCGAATTAATCAGAAGCAAGGACCTTGACCCTTACTTCGAATTCCTCTTTGAGGATCATTTATTTACTCCCCAAATTATTCTTAATTGGGGCAAATCACTTCAAAACTCTCCTAAACCTTCAATATTATTTAAGGATCTATCCAACATTAACTTTCCAAATCACACTTTCTTTTTTACTGACGGTTCCAAATCAGAAAAGGAACACTTGGCTGGATGCGCCTTTGTTTGTCCTTCTTTAAATTTAACCTCTAAATTCAAAATTTCAAAACATGCTTCAATTTTTTCTCTTGAAGCCTTTGCAATTTTATTTACTTTAGATTACATTATAAATTCTAATCTTTCTAATACGGTCATTTTCTCAGATTCTCTTAGTGTTCTTAAAAACCTAGCTTCTAAAAACATCTACAAAATTAAATCTTATATAATTTTTGCTATCAGAAACCGCTTAAAAATCCTTTCTAATTTAAATCGTCCATCTACCCTCGTTTGGATCCCTGGTCACTCAGGTATTGATGGAAACGAGGAAGTGGACAGGGCGGCGAAAGACGCATCCACCAATCCTCAACAACTAAACATACCTCTATCTTATTCTGACTTCTTTTGTCTTGCTCGAAAACAGCTATCTGATAGCTGCAACTCATACTTTCTGGATGTAGGCAAAAATAAAGGTGCTAAATACACACAATGTTTTTACCAACCCAGAAGAAAACCATGGTTTGCGAACTTCGTGGCTCGCAGACTCTGGATCACTTCTATATGTCGTGCAAGAAGTAATCACTATAACCTTGGTGCTAGTCTCGCTAGAAAAAATTACATTCAGTCTGGCGATTGCCCACACTGTCCAAATATTGATGAAGATCTCGATCACATTCTTTGGTCTTGTCCCAGATTCGACACATTTCGTCCAGACTTAATTAAAGCCCTTTCAAGAGCTTTAAAGTGTCCCCCTCCATTTTGCAGTGTACAATTTCTCTCTAACCCTAACCCAAGAGTCGTCTCTCATGTTTTTAGATTCTTAAAACGCGCTAATATTAAAATATAATTATTTACTTTCTTCCTTTAATCTCATGCTTTTATATTTTATAATTTAAACATAATTATCTACTCGAATTACATTGGTTCACGGGAACGTAGACGGAGTGCTATTATTTGCTCTCCGACTGTGTTGCCGTGCACACCGTGGTCGGTCGGCGTTCGCGCCGCCAAACTTTACTCTGTTCACAGGCTTAAGCCGTATTCACTAGTCACCAGGTCATGGCCGTATATACGCAGCGTAACGCAAGTATAAGTGCCAACGCTGAACATTGAAATTGAAATTGAAATTGGATTGGAGTTCTATCAGCCATTTTATTGAAAAATTCTACACCAGTGTTTTTGAAAGAAAAGTTTGAAACTTTGGTTCGAAGGAAAAAAAATGTTGGCGAAAAAGAAAAAACGTTTTTTAACGTTCGAAGAGCAACACGAAGTTATAAAAAAGATTAAATCTGGCACGTCGAATGAAGAAATTGTCCGTGAATATGGAATAAGTATGTCAACCTGCTGTCGACTATTGAGTCGAGAATCGAAACTGTTACAAAATTTTTGCAATAATTACGAAACGAGGAAGAAGAAAACATCGAAAACAAGTTCCGACGAATGTTTAGAAGCCGCTACCTTAATTTGGTTTCAACAAGCCAGAGACAGGGGCGAATCAATTAACGGTCTAGCTATTCAAGAAAAGGCTCGCAGTTTTAATAGAAAATTATCATTTTCTCCAAAATTTAAAGTAAGTCGTGGAAAAGAATTTTCTAACCTAAATTTTTTATTTTATTTATTTTTTATTAATTTATTTTTGTTAATTTTTATAGGCGAGCAACGGTTGGCTACGGAATTTTAAACGACGTCACGGTATTAAATCCTACGAATTCGATAGTAGGGAAGATTTCACATGGATACTAGAAGAGAAAATGGTTATGGAAAATTTACAATTGGATAATATTTACAATGCGGATGAGTGTGAGATTAATTGGCAGACGCTAATTTCTTTCGGACAAGAGAAAAATATAAATACTGGTGAAAATGAATTTGACGACAAAATGACAACTTTATTTTGTGCCAACGCAAATGGCAGTTATAAACTTCCGCTATTGACAATTTGTAAGGAAAAATTGCCGGAATGTTTTATGATAAAAGCAGTCACTCGAACTTTTGGAATGAAGCGTCTGCAATTTTTATCCAATTTCAATATTGTTTACACCAATCAACATGAATCGTTAATGGACAAAGAAATATTCTTACTTTGGTAATTTACAAATGTTTTATTACATTCTGAAAATTTTTTTTTTCTTTTATTTAACGAAATTTCAACTAAAACTAAATCAGTTAACTAAATATATATTCTCTGAAGTTAGCGTCGCGTTTTGTGAAGTTTCTAAAAAGAGTTCGTCAAGTTTAATTTTTCGATAGCTACTTTTTTGCTACTTTTTTTAGTTTGAACAAATTGACCTAATCAATATGATAATAAGAAAATAATAATTTTTAGGTACAAGGAAATATTTATTCCAAACGCTATCGAGCATCGAAAAAATTGTCGTTCGAGTGGGAAAATTATTCTAATTCTCGACAATTGTCCATCACATCCATCCTTGAATGCTCTGAATGAAGTGAATAAAGACGTTCAAGTTGTTTATCTACCGGCAAATGTGCCGGCCATGATTCAACCCATGAATCATGATTTAATGGTATTCTTTAAAAAACAATGTAAAACGAAATTATTGCAAATTGCATTGTCGCATATTGTAGGCATTGCAGATTTTCTAAAGACTCTCGATCTAGCAGTTAGTCTTGGACTCATAAGCAATATATGGTGTAAACTGAAATTAACAACACTGGGGAAAATCTGGAAACCACTTTTAGGTGACAGGTGCAATCACGAGGAAAGTGATCCGAATGATTTATCGCACGATTCGATTGTCGACGAATCGTTAAGTTTTCCCCACAAAATTGCCGATCAATTTCTTCAAATTTTAATTACATCGAATTCCTCCCGCAGAATTACAAAAGAGGATCTTATAATGTGGTTTGAAACGAATGATATCGATTGTGGTTGGCGACCATTGACGGATGATGAAATAGCAGCACAGTTTATTAATAAACGAAGATTATCGACGAATAGTAATCAAGACAGAATCATTGAATCTGTGAATATCAAAGTGGAGCAAATGGAATACCAAGAGGATAGTAACGAACAAGTTGAAATCGAATTCGAAAATATTAAATCGGAACAATATGAATACGCCGAATTGGCTCAACATGGAAAAATTGATCCTAACAGTGAATGTGGAAATATTAAATCGGAACAAACTGATGATAATTGTGTCGAATTGGCACAATGTCAACTAATTGGTGGTAGTGGGGAATTTCAAAGTGGAAGCCGAAATAATAAATCGAAAAGAGTTTTAAATCCCGAAGGAAATAGACAACGTTATCAAATTGTAGAGTCTGAAATAACAGTGTCTGAAGCGCTAGATTCTTTCATGAAATTTAAGAAGTGGTCCGAAACTTGTCAACTTTTTTCAAAATTACATATTGTTTGCATAGAGGAAATTCAGGAGATAATCGAACAGAAGAAAAATTCTTCTTAAAAACTTAACACAATTTATAAATTTTATATGTATATAAAAATTTGAAAATAAAATCTAGCTTTTATAGACAATAATTAGGTAATTACACACATAGTTAAACACCTTGTTTCTCCTGTTTTAAAGAAAAATGTTGCTATTCAAATTTTAATAATTGTCGATGTTATAGAATTTCTTTTGATAAATTTGATGATTATATAGGTAGTTAAGCAGTGTTGCGGAACCGATGGTGTGGAAGCTCAATACATAAAAGATGAAATTCTTCCACATTTCTTCAAGAATTTCTGGAATCACAGAATGGCACTCGATAGAAGAAACTACAGACAGGTTCGTTTATTTTCTTTTGGTCTATAATTTATTTTTTTTGGTTTATAATTTAATTTTCATAAAATTTAATTTTTTTAATTAAAAACAAAATTGTATTTATTTTTTCTTTATATTTAAATTTTGCAAAATTGTAATTTAAAATTAACGAATTTTCCATTTAGCTGGTCGATACAACAGTTGAAATTGCCAATAAAGTTGGAGCGCAAGAAATTATTAATCGAGTCGTGGACGATTTGAAAGATGAAAATGAACAGTATCGAAAAATGGTTATGGAGACAATTGAAAAAATTATGGGCAATTTAGGTGCTACTGATGTTGACGATCGTCTTGAGGAGCAACTTATTGATGGTATTTTATACGCTTTCCAGGAACAAACTACCGAGGTAAATTCTAAAATTATTCGAATTGTTTCTTTTTAAAGAGAAGAGAATTATTCTTTAATTATGTGAATTATAATCAATTTCAGTTGAATTATAATTGGAAATAATTATAATTAAAAATATAAAGCAATAGTTGGAAAATTTGCAATAATGAGAAATTTAATGAATTTTATTATTTAAATAGGATGTAGTTATGCTTAATGGATTCGGCACTATAGTGAATACATTGAACACAAGAGTGAAGGCCTATCTTCCTCAAATTTGCGGTACCATTTTATGGAGGTTGAATAATAAATCCGCCAAAGTTCGTCAACAAGCAGCGGATCTTATTTCTCGAATTGCTGTCGTCATGAAAACATGTGAAGAGGTAATTGACTAATTTTTCCTTTAAGGGAAAATTCGAAAAAGAATCGGAACAAAAGTTTAAAATTCGAAATTATGATATTGTTTTGTTTGTCATTTATTTTAAATAATGTTAATTTTTTTTCTGATTTCAGGAAAAATTAATGGGACACTTGGGTGTCGTTCTCTACGAATATTTAGGTGAAGAATACCCGGAAGTATTAGGAAGTATTTTGGGAGCTCTTAAAGCAATTGTTAATGTCATTGGCATGACAAAAATGACTCCACCAATTAAGGATTTGCTACCAAGATTAACGCCTATTTTGAAAAACAGACACGAAAAGGTTTTATTAATTTTCTTTTACAATAAAATTTCAAGTTAAAAATGATAATGAAATTAATTAATTAAAATTAAATAAAAATTGGATTTAATTTGAAATCTATTTTTTTAGGTACAAGAGAATTGTATTGATTTAGTTGGTAGGATAGCGGATCGAGGACCTGAATATGTCTCGGCGCGAGAATGGATGAGAATTTGCTTTGAACTCTTGGAATTATTGAAAGCACACAAAAAGGCAATTAGACGAGCCACTGTCAATACATTCGGTTATATTGCAAAAGCCATTGGACCTCACGATGTTTTGGCAACGTTATTGAATAATTTGAAAGTGCAAGAAAGACAAAATCGTGTGTGCACAACGGTGGCGATTGCCATTGTTGCCGAGACGTGCAGTCCATTCACAGTTTTGCCCGCTTTGATGAATGAATATCGAGTACCTGAGTTGAATGTTCAAAATGGTGTTCTCAAGTCATTGTCCTTCTTATTTGAGTACATTGGCGAAATGGGAAAAGACTATATTTACGCAGTCAGTCCGCTACTCGAGGACGCTCTCATGGACAGGTGAATTAATTTTCATTTTCAATTCTTTTTATTCTATTTCTTTAAAATGTTATTTCTATTTTGTTTTTCATTGAATAGAATTACGAAATTTACTTATATCGATTATATTTTTAAAATTGTCTTCTTTTCTTCAGAGATTTAGTGCATAGGCAAACGGCGTGTGCAGCAATTAAACACATGGCTCTTGGTGTCTATGGCTTCGGATGCGAGGACGCATTAATACATTTACTGAATCATGTTTGGCCTAATGTTTTTGAAACGTCGCCACATTTGGTTCAAGCGTTCATGGACGCTGTCGATGGTTTGCGAGTTGCACTCGGTCCAATAAAAATACTGCAGTACACACTCCAGGTATGCAATTTCAATTTTTATTTTAAAAACTACCAGGCTTCGCACTTATCTACTGAACTAAATAAATTATTATTATTTCATGAATAATTTTCCAAACCTTCCAATTACGACATTGATTTGTCGATTTTGATTTCCAAACTGCGAAATCAATTAAAAATTTTCTCAATTGCTAAAAAATTGAAACGTGAATTTTCACGATAAAAAAAATGTGTCTTTGTTTTCTTTCAGGGTTTATTTCATCCTGCACGAAAAGTTCGAGATGTCTATTGGAAAATTTACAATTCTCTCTATATCGGAGGACAAGATGCATTGGTTGCTGGTTATCCGCGAATAATGAACGATCCAAAGAATCAGTATATTAGATACGAGTTGGATTACGTTTTATAAATGATTAGGATTTGTACAATATTAAATAAGTTATTTCATTTTCCGAAATTTACAACTATTTTGTTATTTTTTTTTATTTTTCATAATAGGTATATAATCCAATTATCTAAAGAAAGAAAAAATGAGAAAAAATATTGGCGCACATTTTCTTTATATTTTAACAACATCGACTTGTTATACTTTGACCTGAACATTAAATACAAAATGTCAATAAAATAACTGAATAAATAAAAATAAAGGAAAGTGAGAAATAAAATTTGGAGTTTCTTTAATTAAAGTTGCCTTGATTAATTGTTAATTATTGTTATTAATTGCCTGGAGAAAAATTAATTGAAACGAATGATAGAATGTTTTTGAAAATCAAGAAAATTAGTTTTTTTTACAATAGTCAAGTTGTCAAAGACGGAAATTTGAATTTTCACTTTGTTGGACAGAATCAAGAGACAAAACTTATTTCCATTGGGCCGATTGTTTTACGAATCCGATACAACGGAAAAAATTGTTCTCGGCTCTCGGTAATTTCAGAAAGTAATATAACCTTTGAAAATGAATATGTAAACAGTGTATACATAATTTTAATGTGAAGTCAAGCGAGTCAAGTGATTAAATATTTAAATTAGACAGAGGAAAATTTAATAAAAAAACATTCCAAACATGATTTAGAACTGTAATTTTTTAGCAATGGATTCAATCGAAATTGTGGTAAATACATTTCTGACATTTCATTTTTGCCGTGCTATGAAATAATTTCATAAACAATTAATTTAACAGGAAAAGCAGTTTGTAATTCCTAAACAGGAACGTATATCAAAAGTGGATGAAAAAATGCACACTAAAGGAAAAGTTGGAAAATTATGTAAGTACAAATAATATAATTTTTAGTACAAAAATAATTATTCATAATATTCGCCTTTTTTATATTTTTGAATAATTAATGTTCTTTAAAGTTTAATTGACAAGAGTTTAGTACATTTTTCTGTTTAATATCAAAACGAATTGTCTGAATACTTGATAAATAATAATTGGTAATTACTAATCGATTTTCAAACAATATTGTTTACATCAACTAAATTATTTTTCTTTTTTCCATTAATTTTCAGTTGCGAGAATTAAACGGCAATGTAATGAAATTCTTCAAGATCCCGAACTCCAAGAGTACATGAAAAAAGCGGTTGAGTTTTCCAAAGCAAATCCATTTTTCACTTGTGGTTTGTTCGCTCTTATGGTTGGAATTGCATTTCCCATAATTATTTTTGTTCTATTTGTAATCGCCAATGTTGCATTTGTCATTGCTGGTTTTATAATACTCGAAGGTAAGAAAACTAATTTCTTTTTCATAAATTCCAGGGAGTAATAAAAAATAAAATAAATTCCTATTTTCAGTGACAATTTTTATCATTGGTGCTACGGTAATGTCATGTTCGCTCTTTTTCGTCACAACAGCAGTCGCAATAATTGGTTTAAGTATATTAACATTTTATCTTTTGTTTCATTATCTTGTAAATTTGATGAAAAAACGTAAAGTTTAAGAGAGTTTTTCTAAACAGTAGAAAAAGTATTAATAAACTTTCAGGAAGAATTAGCTAGGAAATTTGTATTAAATTAAAAGAGAATTATTTATAAATATAAGAAGTTTTATTTTAATAATATAATTAGTTTGACGTTTCCTTCTCTTTATTTCCTTCCTCTTCTGACGTTTGGGGATTAGTTGACTTTTCAATCTCCTCCCATAATCCTTCGCTTACTATTTCCTCTTTTGTTTTAGAATCAAAATTAAAAGGTTTAATGTAATTCGTATTCTTATTATGAATATCTGTAAATGTTATTAAGGACACGATATAATACGATTTAATATAAGTCAATAAAAGTTGCATTATTTGAAAATAGTTGAAAAAAGTCGAAGAAGTCATAATATGCGAGGCCTGAAAAATAAATGTTTGAAAAAAGGATACAGCCACTGGTGCCTTCATCCAATGTTTCATAATTCCAACGAATTCCAGTGATTTCTTTCAACAATTCATATTTTTGCCTGAAATTGAAATCGCCTTCTAATTTCTGTATTTACGAATTAATTATTATCTATACATGAAAATATACTTACAATCCTTGTTCTAGTAAACATTGATCCTTGGGATTTGGCTTCTTGTTATTTAAATAATCCCTTTTCAAACGCAATTTCATCGACTCAGCTTCAATTTTTTTTAATTCGGATTCTAAAAGTTCCTATATAAAAACAAAGATGTTTTTTTAAAAATGCTAGAAAGAACAATTTTTGGTACATTTTGTTACAAATATACAAATATTCTACTTACAACTTCTTCCTTGTGCTTTTGCAATTCATCAATTTTTTTCTCTAAAATACTATCGGAATTACTCAATTCATTTACGAGTGAAGAAAGTTTTGAGGAAACTGTTCGAAGTTCGGTTTCCTGTTCTGTAATTAAGTAAAAGAATTTTTAACTAAAGATTAATATTTTGTGACAAGTGGAATTTGTAATTACCTTCAATTTTCTGTTTTCTTTTTTCATCCTCCTTTTTTTGTACATTTAAATTATCAATGATTTTTTCTGTTAATTCGGAAACATCAGGTAACTTATGTTTTTCTCTAATTTTTAAAATTTTATCCATCTTTGCTTTCTTAATTTATCATTAAACTTATTTTTTTGTTATTAAAGTGTGAAAGCTTTTAAAACAGTTGTTGTTGAAAGCAAACCAAGCAAACAAAGCAGACGATATCTAGCAGGGTTGGGAAATTCGAGTTTCTTTATTGTGTGTGTGTTTTTTTTGTATAGTTTATGGCGATGAAAACCCACTGCGGACTTAAGGTGCAGTCACAACATGTTTCCTATATATCCTATCTGTCTGTATGCAAGCAGAACGCGGGAACAAAAAGGAAAATGCTGGGAAAATGCATTTATTTGCATTTACTGACTCTTTTTTGTATGAGAACCACGAGTTCACTTTTCTTCTTTTCTTTTCTCATGAGCAAGTCAATTTTTATCGAGTCCAAAATATACTTTTCAATTTCTGTATTTGATCTTAAAAATCTTTTATTATAGAAAAATACAATTATTTAACAATAATGTTTATAATAGAAAGTTTTTATTTGAAAATAAATGTTTCTTTGTTTCAAAAAATTTTTGAATTAAGTAATGTGCTTTGTAGTATCTCTAAAATTATAAATAAAGCCACGCTTTATAACAAAAAATGTGCCTAAATAATAGGTATTTATAAAGAAATGAAAGTATATAGGTACCGGCACTTAAATATTCATTTTTCGAAATTGAGTCGAAAGTTTTGTTCTTTTATCAAAGTTTGGAGGCCTATAAGGTAAATGCTGTTGACAAATTTTTTTCAGTTTATCTTTCACCTCGATTGTTTTTTGTTCACTCTTCACATCGCCTGGAATCTTTGGCAGTAATTCGCTCATCACGAAATGAAAAACGTCGATAATTTGGCGGCTGAATTTACAAGAAAAGTTCTACAACAAAGGAAACAAAATTGGTTAATTTTTAAACGTGTATAGAAAATTGATATAGTTTTATTAACATTTTTACATCTAATAATAATGAATAGAAAAATATGTACCTTTAGTGGTAAATCTTTTTCCTCGATTTCAAATGCATGTAAAAAATATGTCATTGATTGCTGATAATCTTTGTTATTGAAAAAATAGCTGAAAGCAATATGAAGAAGAATTTCCTTCCTTCTCGCATCTTCACAATTCGAGAATTTTTCTTTGACTTTTAACAAATGCGATGTAAAATCAAATTCTGTGTTTAATTGCATCATACATTGTATGTAACACATTTCTGCTGGAAAATTATTTTCTTCCGTGGCTTTTAATAAATATTTTGAAGCTTCCTAAAATTAAAAAATTATTAGAAAACTTTTTTTAAATAAATAAATTTCTCAAAATAATTTAATTTTCGGAAATAATTTTGTTATTTATCAAAACAATTAAAGTATTTTGAAGAATTATTTATATAAATAATTGAATTCTTGAGAAGAATTTCATTAAAATAATTGAATTATATAAAAAAAATTTAATTAAAATTGTATAAAAAAAATTGTTTTTTTCGAACAATTTTATTAAAATATTTGAAAATAATTGAATTTTTGGCGAAAATTTTGTTATTTGTAAAGATAATTGAATTCTTGACGAGAATTTTTAAAAAATTTTGAAAATAATTTAATTTTTGCAAATCATTTTATTATTTTTCATAAGAATTGAATTCTTGAGATGAATTTTGATATTTATCAAAATAATTGAATTTTAGAAACGAATTTTCTTAAAATTCATTAAAATAATTGATTTTATGAGAAGAGTTTTGTTATTTATCAAGATAATTAAATTCTTATGCAGAATTACTGAAAAATTTTTGAAAATAATTGAATTTTTAGCGAAAATTTTTGCTATTTGTAAAGATAATTGAATTTTTGATCAGATATTCGTTAAAATGATTAAAAATAATTGAATTTCTTAGAAGAATTTTATCACATTTGAAAATAATTGAATTTTTGTGATAAATATTGTTATTTATACGAAAATAATGGAATTTTGCAAAGAATTTTATTAAAATTCCTAAAAATAATTGAATTTTGTCGAAGAATTTTGTTTTGTATTAGAATTCGTAGTAGTTTCATAGTTTATGAGGCAAACAAAAAGAACGCACCTCGTATTCCTTTTTCTTCATTAAATACAATCCTTTATAGTGTAGAAACATGGATTCTGCGGGCATTTCGGATTCGATATAATCCAAACACTTTTTTGCATTACTGAGATCATTGTCCTGAATAAAAGCCAATGCCAATCTTAATTGTATTGATACACTGGGAAATTTCTTACGATGAATCTCATGAAATATTTCCATAGCCTTTGGTTTATTTCGGTTCTCCTTTAAGCTCTGAGCAAAAAAGAGAGCAAATTTTGTATTTTCCTCTAATTCATAAGCTTTTCGAAAATGCATCATTTCATCTGGTTTTGGCAAAGTGATTGATGAAAATTGTCTTCTAAGCGTTCGTAAATTTCTTGCCAAAATATAATGAGCTGTTGCCGATTTTGGATTATACTGTACTGCTATTTCTGCGAATTTTATTGCAATTTTCGTTGTCTCCATGCAATAATTAGCATACATCCACGTACAGGCAATAAATTCATTTAAAGGACTTATGCAAGACGCATCGCTTATGCTATTGACAGTTTTCAATATTTCATTTACGTCTTTCGAATTTCCTTTCCTTATCATGAAATGAATTTTTGTTCCCAAAAATACATGTCGGGCAACATCCCTTTTTATTTGACTGCAAAGAAGAAAAATGAAATAAAGGAAAAATCGGAGAATAGAAAGTGACGCGCTTCGAAGAAAGGTAGAAGCAAAAAACCAACTCTCTCGAAATAAACCACTGATTCTTCATTACCTACATCTAAAATAATTAATAAAAAACTGATTTTGAGTAATGATAACAACAAACATAACCTTAAAATTATTTGCTTCTTTCTTTAGAGCGTGTCACATATTTTTAAACACCTAAATTTGTTAATTAGTAAATATTTTACCATTTTATTTCCTTCAACGTTGCTTCAGTTCGCTTGAGTTGATTGTCAGCTTCATCATATTTCTCGCTTATTATTTGAACGTAAGCTGAAATTAAGGCTTTTGTAAATTCCAGTTCCGGAATAAATTCTTCAATATCAGTCAAACCCCATATTTTGTCAACATTAAATTTCGACATGTCCCAAGTAAAGGGACACTGAAGACGATCAACATCTTCCTGACAATAATCTGAAATGTGAAAAAATTATTTTTACTCCCAGCTAATTCTACTTTTATTACAATTTTTTTTTCATTTTATATTATTTTGAAATCTATCATAAGCACTGAAAATAATAAACTTTTTTCTATCTCCGTATTATTATCAATCATATTCTATCATTAATAGCGAATTTGCAAAGAAAATCAGTATCCAACATTTCTTTCTGCATTTTTAATTAAAAGTTTAAATTATTATAATATAATAACTTCCTTCTTTGTTTTGAATCAGATTTTCTTTGAAATTTTAGATTTCTTTTTTGTTTATAAATTCACAGAGAGAAACCCTATACCAATGTTTATTTTTTGAGTGCGACGGGAGAAATTGCGCAATATTTTGATTCTCAAGGACACGGGGGTTTTTCTTCAAAACTGTCACAAGACTGGTGAACGTGTAAATATTTCACTATTTTTAATTCTAATAAAATCTAAAGCACTATTTTATTATTTAATTAGTTTTACTAACAATTTAATTATATATTTCATGCAAAAAATGTTACCTCAATGATTGAATTAAATTAATTAAAAAGGCAGTTAAATTCATGAAAGTGTACTATAAAATTATATCTATAAAATAATTATGAATATTTAAGTTTGATTGATGATTAACGAAAAACTTACCTTCACTCATGATGAAAACCTTTTGTTATATTGAGCCGAATATATTTTCTTTCTGATTTTTTAATTCCTGTCAATTTTTTCTCTTTTTGGGAACGATCTTCACTTCTTGAACGATAATCGGCAAATGTATTAGCAGCGCCTTCTCTCTTCATTAATTGGAACAATTTTTTTAAATTCAATTTTCAACTCTATAATGCAAACGATGCAAACTGCTATTTTTAATTTTTAACAATTTATGTCGACTTGATCAACACTGTTGCTGGACATAAAATAAGCTTATGCATTTTTAAAAAAAAGTTTCTTTTTGTTCATCTTATCAGTGACTCAATGTATTTGCATACTCAAGCTTTCTATTGTTTATAACGAATTCTTGAATTATGTACAGTTTTCCACCAAGCCGACGAAATAATAGTCTTTTGAAAGTCGAATCTTATATATAATTTTAAAAATATATGTTAATTTAATTAATTAAAAAAAATTCTTAAAAGTGCGAATAAGTAAATAAAAAGAAGTCATTTATTAAAATTTTGATTGTTTATTATCGATACTATAGTAAATAGTATAAAAATTGTTTACTTAAAACTTCGTTTTCACACACAAGGAGAAACAAATAAAGTAATTCTCCTATGACTAATAGTAAAAAGTTCTGTTCGTTGTTCGGGGATTATTTAACGAAAATTGTTTAGCAATTTTCATTAATGTTTCAGATCCTTGAATAGTTTCCTTAGAAACAATGTTTCTTTTACTATTGATGTAAGAATTTACTTTTGGCAAAAACTCATCTTCCAAAAAATAATAAATATTGACAGGTCTTAGGAACGGTATGAATTGAAAGTGCTTGAAACAAATGAAAATTTATAATCAGAAACAATAGACAATTGATGATTGTAAAAATATAATCAAAGAAGTTATTTTTTCTACTTATCAAAAAGAAAATGAAAATATAAAGGTGTATACCTTGAATAACAAATAGCCAGAGTCGCCAATTTCGAAAAATTCCACAAAGTGTTTTACAGCTTCATCAAAGTCTTTCTTAAAGACAAAATAACAAAATGCCAGATTTATGAGAATTTCTTTCTTCGCTGGACTATTGTAATCTGAATACTTTTCTTTCAATTTCAAAAAATGGGATGTATAATCAAAAGGCACTTGTAACATCCGAATACATTTAATGTATAACATATCTGCACCGAAATTCCCTTCTTCTGCAGATTTTAATAAACATTTCGAAGCTTCCTGAAACAAATTTCATTCAATTATTATAAAAATTAATTATTCAGAAATTTAACATTTTTTCAGTATTATTGAACTTAATACTGGATTATTTTTTGTTGCTGCTGAAATTTTGTTTTATTCTCTTAGGTGGGCTTGCGCCCGAAAAAAAAAGATCCGAGACTGTAAGGAATCACTTCCTTATACTCAGCCTCTCGAAACACTCGAAAGTGTTGGCTTCATTGGCCGCAACTTGCTTCTTCAGCAAGCCCTGGCAAATGTTGTGCAAATTTTTGCCGCTCGACTTTTCAGTACTTTGAGTCGGCTTTTTCTTCTCGTAAAAAGCTTTGAAGCCAAACATTTGTCTGATGTTCTCCATTCCAAAAACCAAAAAACCAGGAATGTTTACTCAAATGTTCTGTTCAAGCTCAAAACGAGGGATAATTTTTTGCCTCTCGGACCTTGTACTTATATACTGAAAGAGATTCGATTCCCTTGCGAGAATTGTAGACGGCAGCGCACCCTCGCCACAAGTGGTCAAACTAAACACGATGACTGACCTCGACCTGCGCTGTTTCAATAATCCTTTTAGTTCTTATGTAATTTATTATAATATAATAAACAATAACTAAAAATTATTTTACATTCCAAAGTCAGAGATTTTTATAAAAAGTACTGAAAAAAATTAAATTTTTATAATTCATAAGAAAATTCTAAATATTTGGTGTCTTTTTTGTTTGCCTCATAAACTATGAAACTTCAACGAATTCTAATACAAAACCTTCAATTTTTTCTATTTATGACCAGAACGGACTTTTTAATATTGTTTAATTATTTCAAAAGTTTTAATCCAATTATCTTGCTAAATAACAAAATTCTTTACAAAAATTCAATTATTTTTAGAAATTTTAATAGAATTCTTTGCAAAATTCAATTACTTTCATAAATAACAGTATTCATCACAAGAATTCAATTATTTTCAAAAGTAATAAAATTCTTTGAAGAAATTCAATTACTTTAACGAATATCGCGTTAAGAATTCAATTATCTTTACAAATAGCAAAATTTTTCGCCAAACATTCAATTATTTTCAAAAATTTAAATGAAATTCTTTGCGAAATTTCAATTATTTTCAAAAGTTTTTCGCAATTTAATAATTTTCAATATTTACTATTTTCATAAAATTTATTCGTAAAAATTAAATTTTAAGAAACATTCAATTATTGAATAAATTATATATTTTTCTATTTAAATAATTGAATTCTCGTGAACATTTTTATTAAAAATTGATTTAAAATTGAATTTTGTATAAAGTTTTAGATAATAATTGAATATTAAAACCTTTATAGCATGTATTTTTAGAAATAATTGAATTTTGAAAAGGATTCAAATCCAAATCTTTGAAAATGGGAATTTTTCGTACTTCTAACTAACAATTCTGTAGATTTAATTTTTGTTTAAAAGTTTAATTGAATTTTTTTTTTTTAAAATGATTTCAAGTTTTTATTTTCTAATATTTATTTAATTGAAGAATTTACGAATAATTGTTATTTCGTGGAATTGAATATTGTAAACAAATGGATTTCAGAATTCTCAAAGAACTTTTTCGAAAATTATTAAAAGTAATTGATTGAATGAAGAATTTTAGTTGAAAATTCTTGAAAATAATAATTGAATTGAAACGATGAAAATAATTTTAAAGAAGTTACAGTAACAATATTTTTATAATATAAAATAATGATTTTGTCACTCGGTCAAACAGACAAAATTTGGAGCATCAAACGAAAATTGAAAATACTTTGAACCAATTTGTTGGCAATAATTTTTTATAATAAAAAAATGAATAATTCAAAATAACTAGAATAATTTCTACCTCATATTGCATTAGTTCCATAAAATATTTCCCTTTGTGATGTAGGAAAGTGTTGTTTTCCGGTTCAACAGATTCGACATAATTCAGACATTTTCTCGAATTTCCAAAATCCCGAAATGCTATAAATGCTGCTGCCATTCGCAATTGTAGCGGTACATTTTCAATTTTCATATTGCTCAATTCCTCGTATATCTTCATTGAATCTCTATTATCTCGATTTTCTCTTAAACTTTGTGCGAACAAAATTCCAAATTGTGGATTCTTTTCGATTTCATATGCTCTTCCAAAATGATAGATTTCATCCGATCTAGGGTAAATCGATTTTGAAATAAATCTTCGGTCTGTCCTCAAATTCTTCGCTAGTAAATAGTGAGCTGTCGCATCTTCAGGATCATATTCGACTGCAATTTCAGAAAATTTTATTGCTCTCTTCGTTGTTGCATTCCAATGATTACAATGTATCCAAATAGCCGCTTTGAATTGATTAAGTGAACTCTGATAAATTTTATCACTGATGTCCCTAATATTTTTTAGCAGTTCATCAACTTGGGTTAAATTGCTTTCCCTCTGCAACAATAAATGAGCTTTTGTTGCGTCAAAAATATGTCTCGCCACTTCCTTTTTTATTGGACTGAAAGAAAATCAAAGCAAATATTTGTGTATCATAATCAAAATAAATACTTACAAATTATTACAAAAGAATCTCAAGGATAGATAATCAAAACAAATGAGAAAGTTAGTCCTAATAATAATTTAAAGTTCCATTTGAGTAAAAAATTGCAATTGTCTGTCAATATTTCTTATTGAAAGAAAATTTGTTTATTTTTATTCAATTTTAGGTTATTATTAATTTGTTTCTTACAAAATAATGCAATTTCGAACATTTTTTTAAATTCTTCATCAAAAATTTTTGTTTTCTTTTAAAATACGAAATTATTTTCTGTTCTATTATTAGAATAAACACCTTTTGAATTTGTCGATTACGATTTCCGTTATCCCAAGTTTTTCATCGGCTTGATTGTAATCCTTTTTCAGTACTTGAACAAATGCCGACATCAAAAGTCTTGTAAATGTTAATTCAGGTACAAAACTATCATCTTCATTTAAATTATGGGAAATTTCGTCTGTTACATTCGAACATGTCCCAATTAAAGGGACATTGTAATTCACGAAGTAGTTGTTCCCGATCTGAAGAGAAGCAGAGAAAAAATATTTATTAAGTTATTATCACATGAAATTTTTGCTTTTTAATAATAGTTCAATCATTTTTCCTTACCAGTGTCAGTGGATTTCGTGGACATTTTGTAATCAAGCTGTTTTATCAAAGCTTTTTTTTATCTTATTTTCACTTTAAACTTTTTGTCTGTTTTGGTCTTTTAGTATTTCTGAAAATTTTTTAAACAAAAGAAAATCTAAACTTTTTCGCTCTTCTTTTGTTCCAAATTAAAAATTTTGTACTGTTTTGTACAATTCTTTGTCGGGTTTTTCCTTTAGGTTTCCTTTTCTGTGAAACTTTTTTTATTAGTAAACCTTCATTAGTAAATTCAGTTAAAAAATAATGAACATAATTACATAAAAATTTGTTGAACATCGTGTTTAGTTTGATCACTTGTGGCGAGGGTGCGCTGCCGTCTACAATTCTCGCAAGGGAATCGAATCTCTTTCAGTATATAAGTACAAGGTCCGAGAGGCAAAAAATTATCCCTCGTTTTGAGCTTGAACAGAACATTTGAGTAAACATTCCTGGTTTTTTGGTTTTTGGAATGGAGAACATCAGACAAATGTTTGGCTTCAAAGCTTTCTACGAGAAGAAAAAGCCGACTCAAAGTACTGAAAAGTCGAGCGGCAAAAATTTGCACAACATTTGCCAGGGCTTGCTGAAGAAGCAAGTTGCGGCGAATGAAGCCAACACTTTCGAGTGTTTCGAGAGGCTGAGTATAAGGAAGTGATTCCTTACAGTCTCGGATCTTTCTTTTTCGGGCGCAAGCCCACCTAAGAGAATAAAACAAAATTTCAGCAGCAACAAAAAATAATCGAATAGTTTCTCAGTACCTTTGAATTGACTTGAGTTTTGTTCTTTCTATAAAATTCACAGTGGGATTGTAGAAAAAATTCTAATCTTTAGAAAAAAGTATAATTATTATTGAATTACTTTTAATTCAGGTACAATCACATTTTTTATAAAATAAACGTTTATGAAAGTAAGTTTAACACTTATTGTAATCATTTTCTTTCCAATGATTAAAGGTAAAGTTATTTTTTCAAAATAATAAAAGCACTTATAATACTAATCTTGTTTCAATAATTGTAAAACTCTTTAACTTCAGAAATTAACGCATATTATACACTTGCGTGATTATTTCTAAAGTCTCGACGACAAGACTTTTGGTACTCATCACAGATTTTTTTCAGCGTTTCATTCGCTTCAACAATTTCTTCCGGTAGATTTATAATCTTCTTTTCCCTGTATTCCTCAACTTTGGTAAATACTTCCTTACATAAGAATAAATATACATTTATTGTTTGGCCGGTGAAAACGTCGTGGTACCTCTGCAAGAACAAAACCAATTGATTTAAATAGTATCTTATTTCGAAAATAAGCAAATCAGAGCTCAGATCGACTTTAAAATGCAGAAAAAGTTAACCTTTTTTCAAAAAAAATTAATTCTACAGAATTGTTAATAGTATTGTTTTATAGTAATATTACTTAACTATTAACTATTAAAAATTCAATTTCATTTTACGAAACTTTGATTATTCGAAAAATATTTAATTAATTTCGCATGGAAAAGATTTGAAAAAAATGTATGTATTAATTAATTTTTTGTTTGTGGTAAAAAAGTGAAAATATTCGTATTTTTTGAAAATTAGTCGAGAAAGTCGAAAAAGAATTATTAAGAAAAATAAAATTTTTACATACGCTCATATCGAATTTAGGCAAGTCCATTTGAAACGCTTGAAGGAAATATTTAATTGCCTCTCGAATGTCTCTCTTTATATTAAAATAGGAGAAAGCAATATGCAAAAGCAGTTCTTTCTGCTTATATCCTTCCTCGTCCCCCTTGTATTTTTCCAAAAGCTCCAAAAAATACTTGACATAGTCAAATCGTTTTCGCTGTATTCGCATACATTTTGCGTATCCTAAATCGGCGCCAAAGTTTTTCTCGTTTTCTGTTCGTTTAAAACATTCTGCAGCCTCCTATATAAGAACACACAAATTCATAAATATTAGAAAAATATTTTTTTTTCGCTACTCGTTCTCTAGTCGACTTGGAAATTTATTTAAACTAAAAATATCCGAACAGTATTTTTAATATTAAAGATGGAAGAAGTTGAACTTAATTTATTTTTAATAATTATAGAAAAATTTTTACCTGGTACTTTTGTCTTCTCATTAAGTAAAGTCCCTTATAGTGAAGGAACCAGGAACTTTCTGGCCTGATAGTTTCAACGAAGTCCAAGCATTTTTCTGCTTCATCCAAAAATTGGTTTTGGAGAAAATATAAAGATAGACGCAGATTAATTTTCGGACACGGAATGTTCATTTCATGAATTTCTTGAAGTATCGTATTAGCTTTTTGCCTCGAATTACTCTCCTTGAAGGCTTGCCCAAGGAATATACCGTATTGCGGATTTTTTTCCAGTTCATAAGCTTTCGAGAAATGTGAGATCTCTTCGTCACTGGGTGTAGTGAAACATGACATATTTCTTCTTATTGATCTCAAGTTTTTTCCTATAATGAAATAACACAAAGAAATATCGGGATCATATTCTAGTGCAATCTTAGCTAATTCTATCGCTCTGTCCGAGTGTTTGCAAAGTGACAACAACATAGCTTTAAATTCGGTGATTACAGGTAAATATTTTTTGTCCTCAATATCCTTTATATTTTCCAATAACAAATTAACTTCGTCATTATTTCCCTTTTTTAATAAATTGTATACTTTCGTCGATTCCAAAAAATGCTCCGCCACTTCCTTCCTTAGGCTGAAAAAAATTAATTATTCTTTCAAAAATTTGCTTCTCAATATCTATATTAATTTTTTTTTTTAATTTTGATTAATTTTTAGTAATTTTCACAGTATTAGACAAATTTTATTCATATTTACTCGATAAAGTGAGGAATTATTTTTTCCATTTCTCTTATGGTCTCATCGGCCTTATCATAATCCTCATTTAAAATGTGCTGATAGTTTAATGCCAATTGTTTCATCAAATTATGTTGCGGCACTAAATAAATATAACCATCAGACTCACAAGTGACTTTCTTTAGATCTTCGGAATACTCATTTGTGTCCCATGTAAAGAGACAATTTAATTCTCGAAGCTTTTGTTCCATATCTGAAAAATAAATGTTTTATTTTTATTACCTTTTATTTGTATATATTACACTTTGTTTTGATAGTTTTGATAATTAACCTGGATTTCCTTGAGCCATGGATGAAAATATTTAGTTTTTTTTCATATAAAAAAAATAAAAAGAACTTTTCAAGATTCAACGGTTTTCACCGGCCTCGTGCACAAATACAAAATGCTTTATATTTCCATAAAAATAATTCTGATAAACGGGAAACTCCAAACTCCCCAACAGGAAAGCAGGGTCAGGTAGTATATTTTTTGGACAAATTTCTAAATTTCCCGCTAATTTTAAATGATTAAGGGTGCCTTCCCAACTTGGGCATTCAAAGCCTATGAACACGGCTTTATATTTCAAATAATATTTATTCAATAATATATATTAACTATAATAAATAACTATCATATTTATAGTAAATTACATTTTTTTCTTGTTTAAAATATCTCATGCGATTTAAAGTTTAGATACAATGCATGAGGGAAGTGGAAATAAAAAGGGGGAGGTCTGTAAATAACAACAATGTTTATTTGTTTTGATTTTTAAAGTCGTATTTACAATTTTAGCATTTTATTTCAAAAAGATTTCATACAGCAAAATTAATTCAAAGAAAGTAATTAAAATCTACAATAATAGAAATAATCTCTATTTCTTTTGAATTTTTCTCTATTTCGATTGGAGAAAACTGGAAGCGTTGTCATGTCAACAAAAACAAAATACACAAAAACCTTTCTCATCAATTTTTTCTTAACAATAAACTATATTTTAAATTGTGATTAAAATCGAAATATTTTTTTTTTATGGAAAAGAATCAAATCAGTTAACGAATACGATAAATAGAATTAAAAATTGCATTCTAACCTCAAAATATATTGGATATCGCAATTTCATTTTTCCTCTTTTCCAAATTAAAAATAGAAAAAAATTAATTATAAAAGAAAAGTTTTGATTGCACAAAATTGGGAAATATTTTTTTTCAAAAGATTGGGGAAAAAAAGTAAAAAAAAAAAGTAGAACGTGAAAAAACTACGTGAGTCAAATATTGTTAAAAAACATGCGTGATGTAGTGAAGTAAAGTTGCTCCATCCATTATGCGTTGTATTAATAAATTTTCCCAAATTATAGTTTATTTCAGATATAGAATCAAGAGTGGAGAATAAATTTTCTTATTTGGGTATCGTTAGTGTCAACATTTAAATAAGATATAAAGTTGAAACGTCATTTTTCTTTTTTTATTGTGTGAGTGATTATGACGCAAAACCTGAACAGTTAAGGGTTTTCTGCGTCAGTGAATAATGACCCAGCTGATTCGTTTGACAGGTTTGACAGTTAAAAATTGCGTAATTTAAGGGAAAAAAAAGGAGTCGTTTTATTTTATTACGACTATAATTTTATTCTTATTTTGATTTAAAATATGAAAGCCATGTGGAATCTCGACGATCTATTTGTTGTCAATCAATATTTGGGTGTGGAGAGTTTAACAAATCTTTGCTATAAGGTGATATGCGAAAATTTGGATATCATTTCAACAAAGGGAAAACGCGGTCATCGTACACTTAAAAAGGGATTAATATTGCCGAGTGAAATTTGCGATAAAATTATTTTACATTCACAACAGAGCGAGGCAATTGAGGAGAATGATTATTTTTTCTCAATATTTAAAAATGTTCTCGTCACAAAATTAAAACGTGTTAAAATAAGTAATTGCAGTCTCACCGATTCTTCTGTTTTGACAATTGTCGCTCATAAGATCACCGAATTGGAGTTTAATAATTGCTCCAATATTACTGAATTGTCCATTGAATATTTAAATGAGAATTCGGAAAATTTACAGAGTCTCGTTTTTCATGGATGTATCAGTAAATTTCGCACCGGTAAGACATATATATTGTTTGTTTACTATTTATATTTTCATTCATCAAAATATTTCCTTTTCTAGACAAGCAATTATTGAGATTGAGATTAAGAAAATTTTTGTTTCAGAAAATGGAAAACTGGATGAGAAATATTACAAGAGGGGTTATGTGTTTAATGCTCCGAACTTGAAACGTTTAACTTTGGGAAATATTTCGATTCCATATTCGGAGTATACAATTATTTTGCTAACACTTCCAAATTTAAGTCACTTGGATTTATCCGAGAATGAGAATATCAAAAGTTTTTATTTCTGCAATCTCGTGGAGAATTTGGTGTCTCTTGTGCTTTACAATGTTAATTTAACCAATGATGCACCTGCCTTCGTGAAAAATGTGACCCATTTGAAAAAATTGAGGTAATTTTTCTTGGAAAAGATTAATAATTTTAATATAATACAGATCATTTTCTGTAGATAGAATTTTGTCAGGGAAAATAATTTTAATATCAGTAAAATGTCAGGAAAATTGATAAACTGCAACCTGTGACCACCCTGTAATAATAATGATTTTAGATTAATAATTTATTAATAATTTTCTTTGTTTATAGGTATTTGGATATTTCTCAGTCGAATCCAATGAACGGTGAATTCGAGATGCCGGATACAATTCTTGGCGAAATTGTTATTGGATTGCCGGAATTGATTTCATTGGATATTGGTGGTACAAATCTCGCGGGTCGAGGTGTCATTCAACGATCGCTTGATAAGAAGAATTATTTCTTCGATCAACTCAGTGATATTCCGGGACTTGCGTCAAGAGTGAAAAATCCATTACAATTTCTCGGCTTGTATGGAACGTCTCATCAAGCTTGCACGAGGCATGATATTCCTGCTTTAGTGGTAAGTTTAATGTAAAAAAGTTGTATTTATTTATTTATTTTATTGAATTTTATTGAATTTTATGAAATTTTATTGAATTTTATAAAATTTTATTGAATGAAATAAACAAATTTCCCTGAGAATTTATTTATGTTTACAGATTGCCGGAGACGCGAATGAAGATCAAATTTTAGCGGCAGCTTTAGTTTGCATGAATAACAAGGAGGAATTATTGCAGAAAATTCTTAACGATTTATATCAAGTGTTCAGATTTGAAAATTGCAAGCGTATGGATCAAGCGCTCTGTATAGTATTAGAAGCAATGGAAAAGCATCCTTCCGAGAAGCACATTCAAATATCCGGAAGGTTCGTTCTTTTCCCAAAAAGTATCTACTAATTTAATTTATTTCCCTAATTCCCTATATTATTGAACTTTTCTTTTTTTGCAGCGCTACTTTGTTTTATATTATTCGCTCGAGGGAAAATCCTGTTAATGCCAGTATGAAAAAAAGAATAATTGGCGTTTTACTCGCCGGCATGAGCGCTCATAAAGATGAAGAGACAATGATGCGAAATGGCTGTTTGGCTCTTTGCCAATTTCGCATACCTCAAGATGTGGTTCGTCAATTCAATTACTAATTCTCTTTTTTTCCGTGTATAGGAAAAATGAAATTTTACTGCAGTCTGAGAATTTTAAATATTTTCAAAACTAAAATTTTAAATTATCCAGTACAAGTTTGGTGGTTGAAAAATGTCGATGAAATTTTAATGCAAATTTTTTCTAATGATTAATTACAGATGTGGGGTTACGAGTCCTTAGTGAGATTGCTGTTGCATTCGGCGAAGAATTCGGAGCCAGAAAGTTTTGTGCAACGAATTGGAATATATTTATTAAATTCTTTGGCATGTCAAGTGGAAGGAAAAGAAAAGCGGCTACTTGGAAAATTGGGCTGTGTCGAAACAATGTTACATTTGGTTAAATATAGAGTAAAATCAAAAATATTCGACGATGTCCTGGAAGTTGCCTGGTCAACAATGTGGAACATGACCGATGAAACTGATATAAATTGTCAAAGATTTTTAAACACACAGGGAATGGATTTATTCCTGGAATGTGCAAAAGTGAGTATTTTTCAGATTTTCCATTTTTTTTTTGGCTTTCTTAATTAATAATTTGTAGAAAATGAAAATCTTAATGAAAAAGTTGATAAAATGAATACAAAAATCGAAATTTTGACTCTTTTTTACTAAAGGGTTGCTACAGGTCAGGGAATTCAGGGAAAAGTAAGGGATTTTTACAAGTTATTTAATTTCAAATCGTTTGAATTTAAAATTTATCATAATTTTAATTCCTATGGAAAAATAATAATGATTAAATATTTATTTAAAAAATAAGTTATTGATGTTTTTGAATAATTTTACTTTTGAAGAAATTTGTAAATAAATGTAATAGAACATTTTTTGAGTATCTAATAATTTTTAGAGTGAATCAGAATATTCTTAACGGTCAGGGAAAAAATTAAAAAAAATTAAAAAAAATTAAAAATTCTCATTTAAATTTTTGCAATTTATTACATTTTGTTTTTTTCAGCAATATCCAAGTAGGGAAGAACTATTGAGAAATATGATGGGATTATTAGGAAATGTAGCCGAAGTAGAAAGTCTTCGTTCTCAATTAATGCAGGAAAAATATGTTGTTGTATTTTCTCGTTTGCTACGCTCAAAAAGCGATGGAATTGAAGTAAGTATTAATATTCCTTTAACTTTGTATTTTGTTTTAAAAAAAAGAGTTGAAGAAGAAATAAATGAATTTAGATTGAACGTGTAAAAAAACATTTAATTGAAAATAATTTTGCAGGTGTCATACAATGCAGCTGGTATTTTGGCTCACATGGTGTCTGATGGCGTTGACGCCTGGACAATTGAAAATCCAACGAGAACCGAAATTCTCGGTCTTATGGTAAAAGCGATAAATCGCTGGAATTTAGATTCCGAGCGTAATATAAATTATAGATCATTTTTACCGCTCCTTCGACTATTGGATGTTTATCATACTCCTCAATGTCAACATTGGGCAGTTTGGGCTTTAGCAAATCTCACGAGAGTTTATCGTAAGTAATTTTTTTCTATTCTATATTTTACCAAATCTAGAATTTTTTTTAGAAAACATTGATTTTCTGTTTTAATATAATTTAATTAATTTAATTTTAATTTAATTATTTTTTGTTAATTATTTTTTTCTTTCTACAATTTACGTTTTTTATATGTGACGCGCTCCCAAGAAAGGTACCTAAGAAGCAAACGAATTATAGGTTGGGTTCGAGTTAGATTTATCTTGATTAAAAGTTCATTTTTAATTATTTGAATTTGAAACCAACATTCATTGAATATTTTGAATATAGTGAAGACTTGAAGACCAACAATTTTTAATTAATAATTGATTCTCTTTCCGTATTTTTACTTACAAAATTTAAAACATAACCTCAAATTTGTTGCTTCTTAGGTATCTTTCTTGGGAGCGCGTCACATATTTTGATTAATTTATATTTGATAAAAATTAATATTAATATTAATAATCAATACTTGATTTTTCCACAGCTCACAAATATTGCGATCTAGTCATTTCGGAAGGCGGAATAGAGAAATTAAAGAATTTATTAGAATCTGATTTGCCATACGACTTGATAAAGCGACTTGCTCGTGAAGTTATTGTCAGCTGTGGTATGTAAAAACAATGAGACAGAGAGAAAAAAATTGATGAATAATATTTCGAGAGAACTCTAAAATTGCACGAAAAAATATTTATATACTCAAGTATAAATATTTAGTAAAAAAAAATAGAGTCTTACTGGCATATGCTCCAATATTTCCGTACTCTCGAAGAAGAATTATTTTTATTTTTTTCCTGGGGAAGATAAAAAGTATATAAATATTTTTTTTACCCCACTGTTTTTCTCATAATGCTGAAAATTATCGTAATGTTTGATTTCTTTTTATAATCATGATACCCAAATCGATTTGTGTGTCCTTTGATTCCTGTAAATAGTTTTTCGATCGGAAAGAGGTTGAACCTTGAGAGAACTGTTTCCGAATAAAAAAAAAAAATTGTGTATTTGTCAATTTGTGATATTGTCCCTGAAAAATACACTCGTGAGTTTTAATGATTAATATAGTATTCTCTGAAAGAGAAAAATTTTAAATTAAGCAAATAGAAAAAGAAGGTGCGACCTCTTGATAATTTTTTTTTTTTTTTTTTTGCATTTCGTATAAAAAATCTTGTAAAATGGTCTTTTAGGGCAAACTTTATTTTCATCATATTAGTAATAAATATTTTTTAGATTTAATATAAATATTTTGTAGATACACTTTTGAAGTCTTGCAATAAAAGAAACAAAAAAATCGAGTGTTAATTTTCTTTACAAGAATAATTTTTGAAAAATGTCAACTTTTAACTGAAAAAGTAGAGAAATATTTCTGTTTTATTAATTTTTTTTCAAAAAAATAAATTTTAAATTTCTTTTTTGAAAATTCTGTCAATTATTATTTGCAAGACTTCATTTGAAAAAAAAAAAATTTCTATCATATTCTTTTGAAATTAATAAAATTGATAAAAATATGAAAATTACAATTGCGACAAATAAGATAAAATTCTGTTTAAGAGATACAAGAAAAACTTTTTATTTTTTATTGTAAATAAATATTATCGTACCAGATATAGTACATGTAATGCTTTAGATTTGTATTTTTCATAATAGCAATAATACGATGTTTAAAATTAATTGTTTTCATTATTATAATTTTTAGATAATAAGAAATATTTATGATACTTTTTTCCAAATCAAATTGTCTAGAAATTTATTCAAGTATAAATAATAAAGGAAAAGGAAGGACATTTTTTTTAAATAAATGAAAATGGTGCAAATAGTTACAAAAAGTGAATTATTCTAATAAATGTTGCAAAAGAATTAAAAATTTTGTATTTTTTATTACTTTACTACAAAACCTATCAAATTTTTTATTAATAATTTTTGTAGAAATTTATTATTTACTTTTAATTTGTATCAATCATAATAATAATAATAATAATAATAAAAATAAGTAAAATAGAATTTTATTTCTTGATGAAATAAATAATTTTTAATAATATTCTTCTTTAATAAATAATTTTTTTTGTTCTTATTTAAATATTTTTTTTACTCTTTAATTTCTTTTAATTAATTATTTATTTCATTAATAATATTATATTATAATAAATAATTGTTTATTCTTAAATAAACTTTTGTTAAAAAAAACAAACTCCGGAAAAAAATGATTAGAAATTTAAATAAAAATTATTTTCGCGGTTTTTCAGTCAGTAAAGTGGGTGACAGTCGGTAAATTTTTCAAATCTATTCTTTCACTTTATATCCTCTTTATTAATGTTTTATTAATTAACTACTTATATTTAAATAAAGATGCTTTTGTTTTTAATTAAGATCTATTAATAAGTTAGATAAATTTAAAGAAAAAGTGTAAATTAACTGTTTTTTGTTTTCTGCCGCCTTTGCGAAGTAAAATTTCCAAGAATTCGTAACGGTTTTTCACTATACTTATTGTGGCGGCCGCACTGTTGTGCCGTTCGTTTGTTTTTGTAAATAGATTTTATTATAATTATTATGGCAGAAAGTCAACAGTTTTCACATAATATATTCCAAACTGATCCTCTTCGTTTTAAAAGTTATATCAACAAGAAAGTATCTGTATTAACAGAGGATGGAAACTCACAAACCGGAATTATTTACACCGTTGACCCGGTGTCGGAAAGGTTAGGTTTTGCAAATTATTCATTTTTCTCGTTAATATTAATTATTATTTAGAATTTAATACTATTTTTCACGACTACAATAATAATTATATCACATAATAAAAGCGATAGTTAATATCGTAAATATTGACACTTTGTTGGTTTGAGGTTTTATGTTTCACTATTCCGTTTTTTTACGTTTTTAATTTTCCCTAAATTATCAAAAATTTGTCCGTATTATTTTAATCAGGAGTAATTATTAGTAATATAATTAATAAATACATTTAAGATTTAAATATTCTGAAAACGAAAGCAGTTGGGAACCTCAATGGATAAAAAATATTAATAAATAATTAATATATTTACTCTTTGCGAATATTTTTAAAAAGTGGGCGAATAAACAGGAAAAATCTGTTTGTTTTTATAGTATAATTTTGATTCAACCTGCTGAAACAACATATCGAATGAAAATAATAATGGGACATGCTGTAAAAAAAATCGAATTGTTCTCGGAACCTGAGATAATAATACCGGAATTATTTTCTCCTTCGATGAGAAATTTATCAGCAAAAAAAATAGTTGAACGAAAAAATGCAATTAAAAAATTGCTCGATGAAAGTCGTATTCCATTTACAGAGGATAATGATGTTTTACAAATAGAAGATGTACTCGCAATTAAACCGCCCTATGAATTAGAAAATTTTATCTGTAACAATCGTAATGTTTTAACTAGAATACAGGCAATTTTATCTTCCATAATTAAATAATTCAAAAATTTTCTTAGTGAAATTTTTAAATGTGAAGTAATTTACATAAGGAATTCTTTCCAATTTAAGTTGTACCAATTTTCCATTTTAATATTTGTAATTTGTATCATTTTCAATAGTAATTAAATTTGAAGACATTTTTTTAATCACTGACTAGATTTAAATTTATTATTAAAAAATTAATAAATAATTTTAATTAATATCAAATAAAAATAGACATTTTTCCTGAAAAATAAAATAGTGCATTACAGAATTTATGGTTGATATTAAAAATACAATTTTATACTAATAATTGTTAATTTATTTGATGTAAATCGGTTTATTTTAATAATTATTACAAAAATAAATTGTGAGGAATGTACGCTTGTGCGAGAAGAAACAGCCATCGATGTTTAAAATAATAAAAATTGATTATGTATATTTATTATTATTATTATTAGTTATGACAAATGCGAGTTATGAATTCTCTGTTAGAAAAGAGAAAGAAAAAACAGGACATTTTACACAAATTAAAATATTCACTTTAGTGAATAAAATTATTTGTCAACATGAATAATCAGTTTTTATTATTTTTCTCTTAATATTGATTCTCAATTTGTGATAATTGCAAAGTTCCTCTATAATTTAAAAATAATAATTGATAATTTTTAATTCAACTTATTGTTAAATTAATTAATAATTCAGTAATAAAACAAATTCGACAAGAAATAAAAAATATTTCTTTGATTAATTCTCGTATTTGATATGCAATAATTATTCTTGTAATTTTTTTCTTGAATATTTTCTATTTGTAATTTGTAATTTTATTTTTTACAATTATTTTTAAATCGTAAATTTTTAATAAGCTCTAAAACTTTATTTAATCGATAATTAAAAGTTTGTAATGGAAAACTTTCTTTTTTTCATTTTTTTCTAAAATACAATCAGAACTTGTAAGTTAACATTTTAAATTAGTTTTTAGATATGAAATTTGAAATTTAAAAAGTTAATATTAATTCCAAACGGTAAAAAATTTGTTGTATTTTCATTGTAAGGAATTACAAATTTTCTTTTAATGTAAATTTAAAATTGAATTTTCTCAAGTGACTAATATTTTCGATTTTCTAATTTACATATTAAATCTCTTTCTTTTTTTACTAAAAACTTTATTTATCTCACGTGATTTCATGATTTAGAATTTGCTGATTGTGAGTTATAAATTATTTCGATTTTCAACAGCAACACCAAAAAATAGCTACATTTTGCCTTTTTTCTTTATTATTTATACAGAAATTGAATTTTTTTTGGTGATAATTTTTATCCATCATTTTAACGAAATGCGAAATTAAAAAAAAATGATAAGTAACTGCTTTAACGACTAGAGATTAATGTTGACTAAAAGGAAAAAAAACATAAAATGTGCAATGAAATGTATAATGATTAAAATGACATAACACTGAGATCGTCGAAATTGAGATACAAAATAATTAACATTCAAAAACTGTAACTATTTTTTTTTTTAAGAAAGTAGTTGAAAAAAACTTGAACTAATGTTGAGAATTATACGTAATAAATCGTAGACCTTTTTTTTTAATTTATAAAATACTTTTGATAGTGAAATTTCTCTATTTTCATTGTTTTTTGATATTTTTTAAAAGAGAGAAATTTTTGTTTCTTAAATTATTTAATACTTTTTGTAGGGGAGAGAAAAAATGATCATCGATTTATTAATAATTTTTCGATAGACTCAACAATGAAAATAAGGCAGTTTGTATTGCTATAAATTTCCTAAACTATTTTTTTATTATTAATTTTTTTCTTATACAGAAAATTAATTCTTTCTGTAGTTTAATTTTTTTTTTTTATCAAAGCTATTCTATTTTTCTGAATCGTTAATGCTACATTTTCCCAAGTCTTCTTATTTCTATTTTTTTTTCTTCAAAAAAAGTTTGAATTTTAGAGATTATCACACTCTTGTTTTCTATTTTGAAAAATCGAAAAATCGTGAGATTATAATTTTCTTTAAAATTTATCTGGACCCTACTTTTTATTAAGGCTTATTTCTTTTTTGTCGTCTATTTCTAAAAGCCACTAGGAGCTCTTATTAAAATTAGTTTTGAAAAAGCGTTTTCGAGAGATATCTTGGTGAATAATTATTTATACAACTTCTTTTTCTCTTTTTTCGTTTTTTGGTTCTGAGAGACTCAGCTGTCTGTTGGAGATATAAGTTCAAGAAAAAGAGTTTCTCGGTCATTCGGTTTCAGTGTCTGAATAATACTCAATTGGATTTGGGTCTCGTGGTTTTCTTGAGTACGTGAGTCCCAATTTTTCGGAAATCTCTTGAATATGCGTCAATACCTGAAAAAAAACAGAAAATTAGAAAACACGATTTAATTATTTAAAATTAAATTTAATATTTTAATTCTTAAATCGTAGGAATAAAATTAATTTTCTTACATAATCCAATTGTTCCTTTGTGTGAGCGGCTGAAAGGCAAAATCTAATTCTACCCTCCATGACGGGAGTTGCTGGGAATCCAACGCCAACAGTGGCTATACTTTTTGTAGTTAGTGTACGAACAACAGATCTGGAAGAAAATTTATTTTTATTAAAATACATATTTTATTTGATCAAAAAAGTGATTTTACAGATTTGAATTTATAGAATTAAACTAACCCAATTTTTGAGAAGAGGTAGACGAGCATTGGTACAACTGGCGAGTCTTCATTTCCATAAATAATAACTCCAATTTGATTTAAACGTTTTCGAAAATAACGGGTGTTTCTCGCAAGTTGTTTAATTCTGTTTTTACCCGCGTTTGTTCCGTCCTCACCAGCAATAATTTTCATCGATGTGATAATCTGCTGAGCAATTGGCGGTGACATTGCGACAGCGTACGTGTGCGCGTGACTATAAATCCGTATATGATTTATAAGTTCCTGAAATAATTACCAACAATTAATATTTATAATAATAATAATAATTCAATATTTTTTGGAAGCCATAAAATTATATTAATATTAATTAATGTTAACCTTTGTGCCAGCAATATAACCGCCGGCAGAACCGAAACTTTTTGTAAAAGTCCCCATAAGAATATCGATTTCACGTGGATCAATTTCGTAATAATCCGAGACTCCTCGACCTCGTTTGCCCATTGCACCGGTACTGTGTGCTTCATCTAAATAAAGATAGGCCTGAAATTAAAAAAAATTATTTTCCCTATAGAACAATTTTCTTTTTTCACTCACCAATTGTGTGAGTGCATTAGAAAAAATGATTAGGGTGGAAATATTCGATCAATAATCAAATTTACCTTGTATTTCTTTTTTAATGCTATTATTTCGGGAAGGTGGACAATCGAACCCTCCATTGAATAAATACCCTCGACAACGATTACAATTTTCTTCCAAGGTCGTCCGCCATCTGGTTGACCGGAGACTATTGCATTTTTCAAAACTTCCTCCAAATGCTTCACATCTATTTTTTTTGGGAAAAATTATTTCATTAGTTAGGTGCTTTTCTTTTTATTTCTTATTCTTTAAAAATCGAATTTTCTATTTTTTGTTCTCTCTATATTAAAAGGATAGGCAAAATAAAGAATTGAGTAAACATTAAATTAAGGGAAATATTTTCTGAATATTGAAAACTCACTGTTGTGTTTGAAGACCCTTGTCGTTGCTCCGGATAATCTTAGGCCGAGAATTAGAGAAGCGTGATTTTTCTCGTCACTAAGAACCAAACAACCTTTACTGAGTAGCGAAGGAAGATTTAAGGCATTTGTCGCAAAGCCCATTCCAAAAACAATAGCATCCTCAACGCCCAGAAATTTTGCTGTTAATTTCTCCAGTTCGTCATGAATTGGCATACTCCCTTCGAAATAAAATAACAATTTTTAATCTCATTAATTATTAAAATTATATTGAAAGCAATTCAATTTTTATAAAGAATTTCATTAAAAATTTTTTTAAATAATTGAATTGTTTCGAAGAGTTTTATTAGAATTTTTAAGAATATTTGCATATTTTGCGCAACTTATTTAAAATTGTATTAAAAATAATTGAAATACTGCGATGAATTTTATTAAATTTTGTTTAAATAATTAAAATTTTCCCAAGAATTGTATTAAAATTTTTGATAATAATAGTTGCTAGAATTCAATTATTTTTATAAATATCAAAATTCACCGCAGTAATTCAATTAATTTTTGTAAATCAAATAAAAGTTGAAAACCTATCAAGAGGTGCAAAATTTCCAAAGGGAAATTGCCAATAAAAATTGATGAATTTACCTAATTCAAGTCGAGAACTGCAACTTGCACAACCAAATTGTTTAAGTGTATTTATACTCTCATTTGCGCATGGACCTGTTGATTCTGCAAATCCAAGATAATTGTAGGAACCCAAATTTATGCACGGTGTTTCAGTTCCAGTAAATCTAGAATCAAAAATATTTTTCAAATATAGAAAAATTTAATTTTCTTCATGCTAAAATTATACATATATAGAAATTTAAAAAATACTGACTCGAAAGTCCAGCCATGATCTTTTGTAATTCTGTCCTTTAACGTGACCATTGCTCCAGGCACTGAACATATTGGACGATTCCAGCAATCTCTTATTCTACGGTAAACATAGCGCAAGTAAAATAGCTCGAAACTCTCGTAAAGTGGAGCGTAACCCTATTAAACAAAAATAAATAAATAAATAAATAAATAAATAAATAGAAATTACATTTATTTTTTAATTTTTAAAAATGTTTTAATTAAAATTTGTATACCTTTCTATTTTTCTCCTGGGCTACTTTTGGAGTAAACAGCAATTGATTAACGAATCCCAAGAACATAAGAATATAAAAACCAAAATGTGTTAGGGCTGTTGTAATAAGTGACTCTTTTTCGAATGATTCTTTGTGCACTGACGACTTTGGTATGACAGTTTCTTTCAGAGTCCGATGCTAAAAGAAAATTTCTTTAGTTACCATTTAAATTGCTAAATAAATCAAATTAATTAATTTTTAATTCTATTTCTATTTCTAGTTTCAATTATTTGAATTCACTGGAAAAAAGTATTCAGTGTTAATTAAATAGTATTTTTTATTTAAACATCCAATGTTAATTTTTTTTTAAACAAAAATGGGAATACTATAAATATTTTATTAAAAAATAAAAAATTAACGATAAATGAATAATAAAAAAATGTGTAATTATTGCTTGTAAATAAAAATCTTAATATTTTACGATCTACATGAATTGATCTTAAATTACTTTAAATTCCTCTCAATGAACGTGGTAGACGTCAGAATACTTTAATAAAAAATTCCATTTCTTATTACAGTCTTTGCTCTCTTAAAAAAACTATCAAGTGTTTCTTTTCTTTAAATTCGCATTTATTTTTCATTAAAATTTTATTTTATTTACATTCGCATTTATTTTTCATTAAAATTTATTTTCTATTTATCATTGAAATTTGTTTACAATTTTTTATTGAAACTATCATTTTCTTAAAATTTGAATTATTTAAATTAAAAAAAAAGATTATAAATAAATTTGAGGAAATAATTTAGCGAAACTAAATTTACATCTAATTTCTAGGTCTTTGGAACTATTGTGTGGCATTCGGCCATTCATTTAATTTAAATTAAGATTGAGCAAAATCGAATTAGATTTTCAATTAATTGAAAACTCGTTTCTCTAAGAAAAGAAGAAATAAAGAAGTAAAGAAATAAAGAAAGAAATAAAATAAATTTTATGTAAAATTGAAAAAAAAGATAAATTGCCGCTCAAAAATAGATAATCGATTTTGAAAATCGATTGTCAATTTTTCTATTTTTGAAAAAAACGGGCAGGTAGCGCTGTCAGCAATCAAACATTAATTTATTCGAAAGAAACAATTTATCAAGAAATTAAATAAATCCAATTATTCATATAATCGTTTATCTCAGCAGAAATTTGCAAAAATAAATCATAACTCAAAACTCTAGATTAATTTGATAAGAAGAACACACACGAGCAGTGCGATAAGTATTAAAACTATTTCCTCGGGATTATCCACAATTTCTTATCATTTCCTGGAAAACATGACAAAAAATAATAAAACCTATCAAGCGATTGAATGCAATCAACATGAACTTGTAGTAAAATTCAAGCAAAAAATTGGTAAGACTTCTAATTTTAATAACAAAAAAAAGTCACAGAAAAAACTTGCACTATTTAAAATAGAAAATCAGAACTTTTTTCCAAAGAAAATAAAATTTTTGTGTCATAATAAAAGCAGAACGAACGGTTTTTATAATAATAATAATTGAGTGCAAGTTAAGTGCACGTGTACTTACCTGTACGAGGCCGTTGGTTTGAAGTTTAGAAAATCCGTTGATTTTACGGTTGATCGTGTCACAATTGGAGGTTAATCCATTTTTAAGCGTTAATGAATCATCCTCTTGAGTTGTGTTAATTTTCATTTGTACCTTTGTCGTGGCCATATTTTCAGTCGATTTTTGAATGAGAGAAAAAAAATAAAATAATAAATAAATGAAAACGCGGTAATTTTAAGTTAAGAAAAAATTGTTTTTTTTATTTGATACAAAAAGCGACTTTGAAGATGAGGACAACGACGACAACGACGACGATGTCGTCGTGCGACACGATGTCTGCAGCAAAATGAGGCCTGCGCCCTGTGCGTACGCGCCAATCGCCTGACTTTTTCCTCCTTCCGTACCCCTCGCAAAATTCCCTTTTCACCGACACTACTATAGTTTATTGTATTTACTGGTATTTACAGCAACTTTACAGCACTAGCGCTGTCCGAATTCTGAGGAAGAAATTTCCCAATACCTGTTCATCAACTTCTCCTTCCCAGCGATCTGGAAAAAAAAATTTTGTTTTCTACATTCACTTGCTTGTTTTTACTGTCATTTTTTTTCTTTCTCTTTGGTGGAAAAAAAGAAAAGAACTGACATCAGTTTTTCAAGTATTTTTCACTTTTTCAAATTTTAAATTCGATTTTTCATTTTGATATATCTAATTATGGTAAAATAGACAACTTTACATTGACAAACACTCCAGTAGAATTTTTTCTTAACTGGATTCATGAATTCTTTTAACCAATTTCCAATTTTTTTCACCATAAAGGTGAATTTTATCCAATTTTTTGGTTTAATGTACCAAAATTTCAATTTAGTCAAATTTCTACTGTAGTACTTTTTATTTCTATAATTTATGGATGAAGAATCCGACAAACAATATAAGAACAAAAGTTTAGTTAATATGTGATAATTCTGTATTTTAAAAGAAAAATAAAAAAAAAAATTTAATTTGATAGAAGTGTAAAGAATTCAATTATTTTTATAAATAATAAAATTCTTCACTGGAATTCAATTGATTTTTAAAAATTTTAATAATAATCGTTGAAAGAATTCAATTATTTTTAAAAACTTTAACGAATATCTCTTCAAAAATTCAATTATCTTTACAAATAGCAAAATTTTTCACAAAAAATTCAATTATTTTCCAAAATTTCAATTAAATTCTTCGCAAAATCTCAATTATTTTCAAAAGTTTTTTGCAATTCAATAAATTTTCAATATATACTATTTTCATTAAATTTATCAAAAGATTTAATTATTGAAAAAAATGTTTGATACAATTCTACGAAAATATTCAATTATTTTCATAAATAATAAAATTTCATTTCGGTATTCAATTATTTTCATCAAAGAATTTCAAATATTTTTTTAATACAATTTTAAATAAATAAATTCGTTGCAATAGTTCAAATATTTTTATAAATAACATTTAATTTGTCACAGAAAATCAATTAATTTCAAAATTTTTTAAGTAATTCTGCAAAAGAATTCAATTATCTGGATAAACAACAAAATTCATCCCATAAAATCAATTATTTTAAGGAATTTTAATGAAATTCTTTTCCAAAATTCAATTATTTTGATAAATATCAAAATTCATCACAAGAATTCAATTATTTTAATAAATAATAAAATTCTTCTTAGGAATTCAATTATTTTTTAAAAACTTTAATAATAATCGTTGCAAGAATTGAATTATTCAATTACTTAAAACACAATTTTCATTAAATTTTTTGAAAAAAATCATTTCTTTAAAAAGATTTTTTTTAAATTCTTCTCAAGAATGCAATTATTTTAAAATATGTACTTTAATTCCTGTAGACAAAATAAATTCGGTATTTTAATATTTATTTTGAAAAATTATTCTATTTTTGAATGTAATTAAGAAATTATAAAAAAAATTGAGTCAAGTTTAATTTTTCGATAGCTACTTTTTTACTACTTTTTTCTGTTTTTGAACTACTTTTTGTTACTTTTTTAAAATTAATTATTGAGTTCGAATCCTGCACTTTAGGTAACATAATCTAAAATTTAACAAATTGTAATTTTTATTTAAATGCATTTTTAAATTGTTTGAAATGTTGAGAACTGATGATGATGATGATAATAATAATTATTATTATTATGTTGGTGATGATGATAATAATGAAGATTGACATGTAGTTTAACTACTGATAATGCTAAGCATCAAAAGATACTATGTTGCTAATAAACTGCTCCTTAGAAAACATTGTTAAGCATCAAAACTTTATCTTGATACTTCTGATATGTTACTTAGCTTAAATATTCTATTGCTATGGAAATCCATATCATAACGAAGACTTCTAAGAAATTATTCCTTAGCAACTGTTGTTTAAATTCTGTTATTTAGCATCTATTGGCAAACCGACGTTAATCATCTGCTGCATACAAACAGCATTATTGCAACCATCCTTAAATATTTTTAAGCATCAGTTTAAATGTTTGTTTGCCTTTTGTCCCTAACAACCATTTCCTAGCAAACTGTTCCTTAGTTCTTAACAAACAGCAAATTTAAAACAACAGTCATTTTAGCAACTGAGTTATGACTAAACAGCAGAGAATCATTTAAGAATTGCTTAACAACTTCTTAACAACCAGTGTTAATATTTTGTTATCCGTAGTCAACTGTTGTTAACATTCTATCATCTATAGTAACTATAAGTGATAGAATTTTAACAACAGTCTTGACAACAATTAACTGTTAATTGTTGTCAAGAAATTGTTATCAAGATTTAATTTGTTTCCTAAAAAAATATAAAATTCCAACTAATATGCAATTTCTCCTGGAACCCTTGGAACTTATGCAGAATTAAAACATTTAGCGCCAGTTTTACTGTGAACAGTGTTTTAGGGTGAAAGTTGCGCGCGTCTCGATGACGCATTTCATCTTCTGTATATTGTTCATGGTCGCGTCACGGCATTCGCTGATAAACGCAGAATTCCGCATTTTGACAGCTGACCGATTGTTCAAGTTAAAATATAACAAGAGAAATTTTCTCCATCCTAAAAAAGGAATTTAATCCATCATTACAATTCTCATTTCCCCCAATTAAACAACAACAAAGAAGATTAAATAGTGCGCGAATTATAGTGCACAAACAAAGTATAAGAAGATCATAATTTTATAATACATAAAATAGCGAATGTACTCGAGTGTCGACCGAAAACTGCCGGAAGACGAGGAAGAGGTGGAGGAGGACGCGTAGGTGGAGGCTAAAATCCGTCCTCTCCTCTTCAGGAGTATCTGTCAATCGCGCATTGTCCTAGCGAGTGGACAATCCTTTTTCTACTTTTACTATTAATCAAAAATAATAAACGTACACAACAAGTCAACAACAACCAAAAAAAAAGTGAAGTGATTTTATTTATAACCTCTAGGCGAGAATTTTCAAAGTTTTTTGAAAATGTCGAATGATTTTGCGAGTGATTTTTATCCGGATACAATTCGCAAGGATACGGTCGGTGATCTTTTGGGTGGGAATTTCGATGATCAACCATCAATTCCAAATGCGAGGGGACCAATGAAACGTGATCAAGATTCGACAGATGATTTCGAGCATCTTGAACAGGAATTTTCAATGCGTGAATCGTCCCGGCCTCCGAACTTGGAGATCGATTCGAGTTCGACGATCTCGCATTGTCTTGATGCAACTAATGACGTAGTCGAAGCAACGAGGAATCTTCTCGACACAAGTGTTCCTGCATTCGAGCCGGAGTTACGTCCAGTGCCAGCGACTCCGCCACCATCGGCCAATTCAGACGAGAGTGACTCAAAAATACCAATGGATCCAAAAATCGCATCAATGGCTTTTATGGCCAACGAGAGGGGTCTTGACATTAAGGAAAATGACGATTTCCTCCCAAAGGACGATCCACTTGGCAAATTTGATTTCGCTCCCTCGAAGGATGACGATCCACCAGCGAAATCCGAAGACTTCCTCACGAAAGAGATACCGGAGATTTTGAAGCAAGACGTTTCGGAGAAGTACGATTTTGATATTATGAAATCCCTGGATGCGAATGTGACGAAACGGGATGTGAGAGAGTTTAAGGATGATGACGACGAGTCATGGAATTTGGTTGGGAAGAGTAAATTCGACGAGGCCCCGACTAAACCACTTCCACCTGTGCCACAATTTGATAGTTTCGATCCATACAAATCGTCTTCCGTTCATCACGATAAATACGAAATGTCCAGTGAATTTTTAAACGACGAAGCAATGAAGAAGGGAAATGAAACTGGTGATTCGGAGTTTGAATCGGAACCGGAACCATCACCGGTGCGAAGTATCACTAACAAGACTGAGATTCGTCAAGTCGAGGATACAAGTAGACGTGCTCCTGAGGAGAAGAACAGGGAAATCGAAGTCGTTGCTCCTGGTGATATCTTCGGCAGTCTAGGACTCGGTAAGTAATTTACACATGTTATAAAGAAACAAACATTACAATACAGAAACAAAACACTAACTAAAAATCAATAAATTATTACAAACTCGACAATGCTCCAAAAATTATTATTCCTAATTGTTCTGTTCTGTACAGATCAAAGTTTGTTCAGAACTGTTTCTGTACAGAAACAAAACACTAATTAGAAATCAATAAATTATTACAATCTCGACAATTCTCCAAAAATTATTATTCCTAATTGTTCTATTCTGTTTAAATGCCCTCTCGTATAAAACTATTACAATCTCGACAAGAAATTCGAACAGTGTGACAAGATTGGAATCATCAAATTATTCGTTTGCTTTGTTAATTGAACTTGATTCAACAAAAATTCAAAAGGGGATACGATCACGAACGGTACAGCTTTAAGTTCTAAAAAATGTTTCAAAGTTTTTCTTCTTTTTTTAAAAATTGTTTTTCATCATACAACAGAGAGATAATTCCATGCATCACGCATTTCTTGTGCGTTAACTCATTCGCGATTCTTAAAATAACTATTTCCAAAGCACAAAACACGTCTGTGCTAAATGACATGAAAGCTTTTTTAACTCGTATTTTAAATTTCTCTCATTTCCCTCGACCTTCAAGTTTCGTGAAGCTTAACCAGGTCGTTGCCATTCTCTCAGTTGATGACAATTTACTATTTCCACCGCGACCTTTACTTTTATTTCACAGAACTCAATTATTATTATTATTGTTACTGACTTGAATACTTGGTAAAAACAGAAGCAGGCTTCGTACTCGATAATTAATTTTAAAAAAGTAGCTTACAGACAGAGAAAAAGTAGTAAAAATGTAGCTATCGAAAAATTAAATTTAATGACTTGATTTTTTTATAACTTCTTAATTACATTCAAAAAGAGAAAATTTTTTAAAAATAAATATTAAAATACCGAATTTATTTTGTCTACAGGAATTAAAATAATTTAAATGAATTCAATGTAATGCATTTTTGAAATTTAACTGTTTCTAAAAATTACAAAAGTCATTCTTTCAAAATTCAATCATTTCTCAATTCATTTTTCTTGAAATTTATAAATGAAATTATTCATAACTCTAATCATTTTATTTTATTCAATTCTAAAGCAATTCTTATTAGAAATTTCTACGAGAATTCAATTATTTAAATACAAAAATGAATAATTTATTAAATATTTGAATATTTCTTAAATTTCAATTCTCATAAAGAACTTTATCAACATTTTTTAAAATGATTGATTTTTTACGAAGAGTTGCATTAAAATTTTTTATAATAATTAAATTCATTCAAGAAATGTAATTAAACATGAATTAGAAATAATTATTGCACTCTAAGAAACAAATTATATCAAATTTTTTTAAATAATTGAATTCTTTCAAAGAATTTTATTAAAATTTTTAAGAATAGTTGCATTTTTCAGGGAATTCATTTAAAATTGTATTTAAAAAAATGAAATCCTACGATGAGATTTAATATTTATAAAAATAATTCAATTCTTGTAACGATTATTATTAAAGTTTGAAAAAAATAATTGAATTCTTGACGAGATATTCTTTAAATTTTTTTTAAATAATTGAATTTCGTCAATGAATGTTATTACATTTGAAAATAATATTATTGAATTCTTGTGATGAATATTGTTGTTTATGAAAATAATTGAATTTTGCAAAGTATTTTATTGAAATTCCTAAAAATTATTGAATTCCCGAGAAGAATTTTATTATTTATAAAAATAATTGAATTCCTGTGAAAATTTTTTTATTTATAACAATAATTGAATGTTTGCGAAGAATTTTATTACCATTTTTTTAAAATTATTCAATTCTTTTGGGTAAATTCTCAAACACATGGAAAAAAGTAGCTTTTAGTGTAACAAATAAAAAAAAGTATCCAAATAGTAGCAAATTTTAAAAAAATAGTAAATAGTAGGATTTATGATTGCGAGGCCTGCATGAGAAAAAATTTGACGCAAATTAAATAAATTCATCAGCATTAAAATAGAAAAGATATTTTTTCGAATTTATCATTATAATAATAGCTTTTTCGAAGAATTAAAATTTTGTTCAATGAATGTATGTATATGTAATTTTATGAATCATATCTTTGAACAGAAAAAGAAGTGAATTATTATGCAGAACGTATGTCAAGTGTTTCTTGATTCTTCTATGAATAATAATCAGTTTGTTAATGTAAAGATTATTCATACTCATTGAAATAATACCTATTTAGGGCCATTCTTTCTCAAATTTACACCTTATGATGTCAACAGGGTTGTCACAAATCATTGAGAAGCTAATAATAATTAAATATTTATTTAAATTTTAAACAATCTTATTTATAATTCTGGAAAAATTAGATTTTTCGAGAAATAGGTTTAAATTTGTTTAAAAAATAATTTAAATTCTTTAAAACTATTAAAAATAAAAGAATTTGTTGAATTAATTAATAATTATTTAGTCGATGTCTCAGTACTCGTCTATTTTTTAAGATTTCTCTTTTAATGTTTTAGTTTTTTAAATTAGTTTTTAAAAATATTTTAATATTGTTGTCTTGGAGTAAAATTATTAGTTTACCTAAACCATTGTTCTTATAATTATAATGACAGAAATATATATTATATTATCTAGCGTGTGATATGGCGGAAAAGCAATCGCATTAGAAATAACGTGACTCATGGATCTTCATAATATAATTATATTCCAGTGAATCTACGTAGGTGTTAATCTCTATTTATAGAACACACAAGAGAATTGATACGTTTCTTTATAAAGTTACCTCTAATTTTCTTTCCAATTCCACTATTTCAATTGCTACACTGTAAAAAAGAAAGGTACTAATTTAGTACCAATTTTGGTATACTAAATCGTCATTTGGTTCTATTTTAATACCGAAAATCCGCTCTAATTTAGAACCTTTTATTTACAGTGAATGAATTTGCTAGAGACTATTGAAAATATTTGGTCCACTTTTTTTAGTGTATAGAATTTTTATTGTACTACTCATTTAATAATAACAATAACAATAATAATAATAATAAAACCCATTTCCACTAAAGAGAAAGAGTTATCTGAATTTTAAATTACGGTTGGATTGAGAATAATGTTTTAATATAATGAAATAATAATAATGAAGGTTCTAATTTACCTGAATTATTATAATTATTTCTAGATAAATGTTTGTTTCTTTTTGTAAAAGAATTATTAAGACATCTGCATTTTTCTACTTTGTATTCGTTAAGAATTCGCACGTATCTTATTAACGAGTCTAAAGCTAAACCAAAAGTGGCAGTCGCTGTAGTGCTAATCAGGATCCTGTTAATAATAATTTTACTCTACCGTGTCGAAAGTATCATTTCCGGTTGGATACAACATTGAACGAAACATTTATTTCTCTCTTTAATTTACATAATTAGCTTTTATTAATTGTTGTTTTCATTTTATTCAATTTTATTCATACGGCACGCAAAAATTATATAGTCAAGTAAACGCATATAAATATATCTCTAATAAATAACTATACAATTAATAGGAGCATTAAAAAAAAAGAAATAAATCTTTAAAAAAGAGTTAAAATTAGGAAATAATTTATAGATACGTAAATTGTTGATTGCGTGCTGCATGGAAAAACTTGTTGACTTACAGAGTTCGTTAACATAGTTCATTGCCTAGACAACTTAATGATGTGGTACGATTAATGTATGTACATAGACGATTAGAAGAGAACACGTCTATTTCCGAGTGGATGTCGAGAAACATTTTGTGATAACAGACAAAGAATTAGAACATTTTTGGGAAAAGAGGATCTTAGCAGGTTAGCAGTAGAATAATCAAATGCTAGTAATGTGTTACGTGAATTAATACTTATACTCCAAGACAATAATATTAAACTGTCCTTACTACTTGTACGAAAAATCGAAAATTCTTAAAATTCAACATTTTTCTTTTGTTTCAAGACAAATTGCTTAATTATTTTTGGGCTCTTCAAAAACACTTAACTAATTTTTAATATTTGTAAAAATTAGTAAAATTTACTCCAAAAGTAGTAAAAGTTACCAGAAATGCTTAACAGAATTGTTTTACTATCAAAATAATAAAAGTTACTTTATATTTTTCTCCCTGTATTCTTGGAAATATATTTGATGTTAACTTTTTGATGTTAATTGAAGTGGACATTGCAATTTTTACAATAAACATGCGTGTACCTTGTTACTTGGAGCGAAACTATCTTTTCCCTTGGTAGTATCATATCGATCCTAAACCCCTTAACGTGCGTTTTTAGTACACATACAAATGTCGTAGGGTAGCAGAACCCCACCGTCATGGAGAAAACACCTTTTTTCCCTGTTTAATTGTAGTCTTGAAACCTTAGAACCGAGTCTGGAAAAAAGTACAGTGGACATATCAATTTTTATTAGCATATTGTTATTCATCACAAAATTTAGTTACTTCATTCACAGTTTCATTATTTTTCATTTGCTTTTATATTTTTTTCAGACCATTTTTTATTAATTATTTTTAAAAAAATGTATCTTGGGAACAAATCTTACACTGAAAAAAAATTTATTTGATTCAAATAACCGATTAATTGATTATTATCAATTAACCTTTAGAGGGCCAGGGTTTATTTATTTTGACGAATCTTTTTATCAAATTGACTTTTTATTTATAAATTTTTTTAAATAAAAAACTACTAAAATCTGTGCAAATTTACCGGCCCTCTAAAGGTTAAATATTTAATTGAATCAAATAATATTTATTGGAGTCAATTAAATGGTTTAGTTCATATTCGCTTCAAAATATTTAATTGATAATAGTCAATTAATCGGTTATTTGAATCAAATAAATTTTTTTTTCAGTGTAGAAGATTTCAGTCTTTGTATTGACATTGTGAAAAGCCACTTTTAGCAAAGAAAAGCCACTTTTAGTTTCAGTGAAGCATAGGTTTGCATGATTCAATGACACAAGGAATATCAAGTTTGCCATAAAACGCAATTGGTCGCACAGGAAACATTATTGTACAAAACTAGTAATAAAACTGTGTGACTCATATTGCTTACGAACTCTTATTTTCTATACTCTATTATTATATTAGATATAACATGTGTTTTATTTTCTATAGTAAATTTTTCCCTTTAAAATTGATGCTGGGGCCTAGACCAAACAAATGTTTTAAAGTATTTTCTTAATAGAAATTTATTTTTGTTTATTAAAATTAATCCCACAGTGCGCAGGCGCAACACTTGACCTATATTAAATTCTCTATCAAGCTAATTATTTTTTACCTTTATAATATTAAATATTTCTCTATGCTCCTCTTGTAGCATCATTAAGACTTTTCAAGTCTAAAATTTTGCCATTGTCACTAAAAATTTCTTCTTATAAATTTAAATAAATAACACAAACTAGAGGTTGAAATTTTTTTGGAAAAGTTTGTAAAAACTGGATTCTCACAAGAACCTGTTTAAATGAAGTTGAAACCTGTACTGAACGTTCAAAAATGTTGGAGTGAATGTTGCTTCTTGCATTATATTACGAATTTACTGACTTAATTATGAATTGTTTTCATTTTTGCGATAATGTAATCGTATTTATTAGCAATGATAATGAATAGCTAATAGAATCAACCAAATAAATGAATTGCTATCAAACATTTATTTGGCTGATTCAACCGTAAAATTTGATTGTTTCAAATAAATATTTCCTTCGGGTGACTACATTCTTTCTTCGAGTGAAAAATTTATTAAACTGAAGGAAATGTTTGTTTAAATCAAATAAAGACTTCTTTAGGTTAATTAAACTTTATTCACACAGAGGCCACATTTTAGTAAAGTCAGTAAAGTCAGGCAAATGTCAGTAAAACAAAATTTTTCTCATTAAATTGTCAGGAAAATTGATAAACTGAAACATTGCGTTTGTGAGAGAATTTTCATGCCGTCTAGGCGGCAATTCAACCAACTAAATTGGCGCGAAATTCAAAAAGGAACATTTAAATAATACATAGATATTAATAATATACATACAATTAATTAGGTACTAATTATAAAAATATAATTTTTTATTATAAAATAAATAAAACAATACAAAATAATTGAAAAAAAATTGTATAAATTTCCACCCAATGTTTACTGGAATTTATGAAGAAATTCGATTGAATTGTTCTGGTAAAATTTTTTGTAGGAGAGAGAGAGAGAGAGTATTTCTTGCTACAGTTTAATAATAATTATATGAAATAAATCCCATTAAAGTCAGTATTGATCGATGCAGTTGCTTCTCTGCGCCTTTGCGTCTTTTTTTTGGCAAAAGTTTTTTGCTATTTTTTTCTACCTGAATAGAATATTAAACATAAAACCCGACTGATTTTATTCCCATATTACTTGCAACACGATTTATTAAAAAGTCACGAACGTGGCGATTTTAGATAACTGCGTTGATAGGGAATAAAAAAAGAGAATATTTTAAATATTTAATATTCTGTTGCCTTGTCATATTTTCAATAGTGCAAATGTCATAATTTTTATTCTCTATGACTATAATTGCAGAAACTCATTTGTGAAATTACTCTTGATAAAATCAAGAGCACTTTTCTCTTCCTTTATAAGAAGAATTGTTTCTCCAATAATTAAAATAACTTGTATCTTTTTTTTTTTTGAATTTCAGTAGTAAAACTACTTTATCTGCTGACGATTATTTAATATATTTTCATGAAAGCAAACTTTTCCGATTTTTCTATCTTAATTTTATTTTATACATTTTAAACTTTTTTTTTAAATTCCTTCTTTACCGGTAACTTGAATATAAAGCTGTGCTGATAAATTACAAATTGCAACTTTCATTTGAAGATGGCTCCACTGAATGAAGAATAAAATAAAATACAGAATTTAAATTTTACATTTATTTTATTTTACATTAATTTCAAGATTTATATTTTCTACAAAGATTTCGATTTCAAAAACCTTCTAAAATTCAATTATTTCAAAAAATTCACGCTATAATGCTTTTAATAGTCAATTATTTTCTAAAATTTTTACTGAAATTTTTTTAAATACAGAAATAATTTATTACTTTTAAAAATTGCAACTGTTCCACTATTTATGGTGTTTTTTTTAAATTTTTTAAGATGAGAAAGAGAATTCAAAGACAATTTAAATTGTTTTTGAAGGTTTTCAATATAATTTGATTATTTTGTTATTGTCAAAATTAATAATTAAAATTAGTAATATTTTAATAATAAACAAAAGGTAAAAGTCGTCAATGAAAATTAGTTACAATTAATAAAATCTTTAAAACATTATTTTTGAATGATTTTTCTAATTAAATTAGAAGTACAATTTAAAAATTATTCAATAATTGAAATTTTGTAAAATTGAACTAAAAATAATTGATTTTTCCAAGTATTTTATTACTCTTTTTGAAAATTAACTTTTCAGGAGTTTTAGTATTGCGAATTTTGAAAATAATTGAATTCCCAAAAATTTCAATTACATTTCTTTTAAATAATTGAATTCTTTTGAGAAATTTTATTAAAATAGTAGATTTTAAAAATATTTGAATTTCAGTCAAGAATTTCATTATTTGTGAAATTTAATTGAATTCTTGCAAAAAATTTTTGAAAATAATTACATTTTTCGTGGAATTTATTTAAAATTGTAATAAAAATAATTTAAATCCAATGAAAAATTTTATTATTTATGAAAATAATTGAATATTTACAACGAATTTTTTTTACAGTTTTTTAAATAATTGGATTCTTGCGAAGGAAAGAATTTCAAGGGGTTTGCATTTGAATGTTATGAAGAATTTTAATTAATAATTTTAAATAAATAATATAATATAATATAATTTTAAATTAATAATTTTTTAATTTCCTATGGAGAAAAATTATGAATTAATTGTTATTAAATTAAATTTTGTTTAATTAGAAAATAAAGATTTCAAAGTGTTCGCAAGTTCATTATTGTCTGCTTCTCAATACACATCTTATTCTGCGGTGTCAGTGGAATGGCGCCAAATTCAATTTAATACAGTCGATTGCATTATTCTGCTTTGGGCTGAAAGCCAGCAATAAAGAAATAATTTTCTTTGTTTAAGAACTGCATTTTATTTTACTAATCCCTTAAATTCTTTTCTAATTTTGAATAATTTTGAATAATTTTTCTAATTAAATCTTTAAAATTTACAATTAAACAGAGTTTAAATAATTGAAATAATGTAAAATTTAATTGAAAATAATTGATTTTTTTTAGAATTGCAAATTTTGAAAATAATTGATTTCTCAAAAATTTGAAAATTGTAGAGAAATCACGTTTATATTATAATAATTAAAATTCTTCAAAAATTCAATTATTTTTTAATAGAATTTACCAAATTTCAATTGTATATAAAAGAAGTTATTAAATTTGGTAAAAAATTTAAAAATTGTTGTGACAACACTGAATTAAATAAACGACTTTTTCGACTTTTTTTGCGCCTTAAAGTCGATCCGAGGTCTGATTTCACCAAATTTGACTTTAGTCAACTTTTCTTGTCCTAAGTTTTCTATAGAGGAATTTTTTTATTTAAATATTTGTTTCTTGATCCATAGTGCGTTCTAACATGGCTACCAACGCCGCGCCATCCTATAAATAATTAAGTGCAGTCTGCAAGGGAGAAAAGCTTTTCCATCATTCAGTCTATTGAGTGTATTCAAGCGAAAATTGTTTCTTTCCTACCATACCATCTATGACTCTTCTTGAAAATTCTAGACAATATTTTCAAAAGAGTGTAGTTTCAAATTTAAAATATCACGATAAAATAAAATCCTATGCGGGGTTTTAGAAATAAAAGATATAAAATGAAAAATTATTCTCGTTGCTTTTATAAATAGAACTTACTTTTATATAAGTCCTTTTCTAAGGCTGACTTATTCTATACGTTCATTGGAATAGTAGGTGCATATAATAGTAAAGGTTGAAAAGCGATCTATACGAGAGCTTTTTTAACACCAAGGACCTTTAAGGCTAGTTTTGCTTCTAAATATTAAGTTTAATTAGAATAAAAAGTATTTTTAGTCACATCCGGTAATACACTAAAAAAATTTATTTGATTCAAACAACCGATTACTTGACTATCAATTATATTTACTTCAGACAAGTAATATTTATTTTAGTCAATTAGATGGTTCATAATTCATATTTGCTTTAAAATTTTAAGTACTGAAATTATTGGTTCAAATACAATTTAATTGATACCAACAAATATTATTTGATTCAAGTAAATATTTAATTGATAATAGTCGGTTATTTGAATGAAATAAATTTTTTTTTCAGTGCAGATTCATTTCACTTCTCGTATACTATTCGGGATATTTTTC